CCGTCGATTAGGAGCCATCCTCTGGCTCACCGAGGAGAATGCGGTGCAGAAAAATGCGGACTAATCTCTCGATCTGTTCCTTCCGTTTGGGGGATAGGGTGTTGTCCCCTCGCACGTGTGGATTTTCTCCAGGGGCTCCGGTTTTTTCCTCCGACACGTCTAAACAATCATTAGTTAGGTAAGTGTACATATATATAGGATCGCAGAGCTTGAGCAATTATCGGCGCCGGCTTACCGCCAGGCTGCTCCTTTCTGGCTTTTCTGTGGTTACTTAGCGATGATGAGATGCAATTTGCATGGCCGACTAAGCTATATATAAAACTAAATATTATTATTATTTATTATTATCGCCTAACGTCGTGGCTTAGGATCCCGGGGCGTGACTGGGAGGGGGTGGACAGCGTGGGAAGGTGAGATTAGTGCTTTGATTTGCGGCGGTAGTTGTGAGGGCAGAACATTAAACGATCCTCATATTCAGGGATAATCTGGGGCGTGTCGTCGAGAAGGGTCACGTGGCCATGGATTTGGTGACGAAGAGAACTCGGGGGGGTCTCATCCTCGGCTACCTTGGCGCAGATGAGTTGGGTTGGACACGAGGCGCCCCACGTTAGTTCATTCCTAACAATGTGGCCATCGAACAATGACGGACACTGCGTCGCGCGCTTTAAGATGCGCTTCTGCAGCTGTTTCGAACGCTCTTCCGACATTAGGAAGCCACTGGAGCTTTTGCACTTTTAAATCTAGATTGAAAACTAAATTTTTTCGAACTACTTTTTGTGTTTAAATCTTGACTTAAAGCTTTCGTGACTGCAGGAATTCATATTCTTTGGGTCTTTCGGTAAAGTCACGTAGATGGGTTCCAATTATTCAAAATAAAATGAACATAAAACTACGACGCTTCGATCACAACACAAGCGATCGTCATCAGGAGGAGTTTGTTGTCTTTCCCCCGCACCTCCAATTAGCACGGTTGGTTATGTGCGGTGCGAAAGAGGTTCAACATATATGCGTGGGTTTTTATGTATTTTTACAAGGCGTCTAAATGTGACCGCGTCCGAAGCCGCTCCCTACATTAGTGGAAAATGCGCGAACCTTGCCATTATTTATCCTGGAGAATACTATTTGGATTTGCATGCGTGTCTAAATGCCTAAACAAGACCTCGTCTCAAGACGTGATTACACAAACTACAAACCCTATTTATGATTAATCAACATTGCATCCTCAAAACAAATGTGGCGAATGGAATGTCGATGTTGTAAAGGCATTTCTATGACGACGACCTTTGCTAAGGACATTCCACCATCAGCATCACCAAACCTTACCCCCGTGCGCTTTTAAATCCAATAACGCGCGTCTGCACGATGAGGGCGACATTGCTGCCATGCAACTCGCTCCTGTCTCTCGGCACGTGCTTGGTCAATCACTCGGTGCTGCACCGAAGATGAATGTGAATGGTGAGTTGATGGCGGAGGTGATGGTCGTGATGGATGGCGATTATGATGGTGGTGGTGGTGACGATTAATAATGAATGAAACGGGCGATAATGGATTCGAAAACATAATGAATGGTGAATAGTAAAAGTGGTGGTGATGATTGATGGTTTTCGTGATGAATGGTAATGGATGGCGATTATAAAGATGGATATCATGGAAATGATGATGATGATGTTAGTTGGAATAATGCATTTTGATCATAATGTAATGTAGGAATGGTGATGATGGTTGTAGTCATAATGATTGACCGTGGTGAAGCGTTATGGCAGTCATGATGATGGTGATGCTTTTTGCTCGAGAAAGGACTGCTTACTGAAATGTAAAAAATATATTCGTGACATCAACTAAACATTTACAAATAATGTATACCTCCTGAAACAGAAACTTATATTCAAGACGAATCCGAGTACTAGAATTCATATACGGCTGCATCAGATGACAAGTGGGTTAATATAGACGGTACTGTATATAAATTATTATTTATGCAAGTGGAGTATTGTAATGTGCTCATGCATCACGTGAGAGGGGAGAGAGGCACGTGTACGCGAATGAAGGGGGGGGGGGCAGAGAGCGAAGATGCGAGTGGAGGAGCGAGCGTGCTTGGGAGAGGGGGCAAGTGGGAGAGTGAGCGTGGATTAGGAGAGGGGGGGGAGGAAAGGTGGTCATGGATGGGAGCGGGGGAGGAAGCGCGGATGGGAGGGATGAGTGGATGGGCAAGGGGTAGAGAGAGGAGGAGAGGACAACGTAACGGAGCCTATGGGAGGCTGCGAATCGCACCACATCGCCCCTCCCCCTCATTGCATAAGCAAGAGCGCCGATGGTGTGCCACGTGCACACGTGGCTGGTCGCGTGGCCTGCCACGTGCACGTGTTGCTGCTCCCTCCCCACGGATCTGTCCCCTCTGTGAGATCCCCTCTCACTGGCTCCTATTTTCAGGTTCTCTGCCCCCTTCTCACCCCCCCCCCCCCGTTTCCCTCCACCCATCCTCCTTGACCCCCTCTCCTCTGTGAGGCTCCCTGCCTGCTGCATGCCAATGCGTTGGTGGCGATTTTGATATACAGGCGTATACGCGGTGGGCCAGGATGGAGAGCGGTGGCGCAGTGATTAGCGCAATGGGATTACGAACGTGGCGATATGGGTTCTCTTCTCGGCCACGGATGACATCAGTTGGCGAGTGACATCTGAACGAATCCTGGGCAACCACCTCACCAAGTTGCACTGACCAGCAGCGTGTTGATGCATGGTCACACAACCCCGATGATCGGCACGGTGTGGGGAGGCCCTTCCTTATACAGCAGTGGGATGACAACGAGCTGCACATCAGAGTATCACATTCTACAAGGTGGCTCCACCACCCTCAAATGAGCAGTAGCGGTGGGGGGGAGGCATGTACCCCCCCTCCTCCTCGCAGAGGCAGATTACCTTGGTCACTGGGGAGATATTAAAATTGTGTTCGTGCAAATGTCACGTTGCCACCACGCCCTTCCTCGTGCCAGATCACACGGCAGTCACATGGGCCGGCACCTGGCCTGCAGTGTCTGTTCTGTTGTGAACACGTGTGCCCCCCGCGAATATAATGGTGTTGCAGCGCCCCCGTATTTACCACGTTGTAGACTCGCCCGTTTGACTCTTGCAAATTCACGTTTGGCCATGTAGAATGTTGGCGCGAGTGTTGTTAGCAAGCACCCATTGAGGACGAAAAGGTACACGCACACACGACGCCCGGTCATTTGTGTCTCTCCAATGTTGACGTTTACACACAACAGCTGAGTGATCATTAATTGAAGGCTGAATGGCCTCTTGTGGAGGTCCACGACAGGTTCAGTTATCCCTCTCCATTGATGGTATCCACGGCCTTAGAATCGAACTCAGGTGGCTGGGTTTGCAGTGCGACGCCGCTGCTCCACACGATACGGACACGAGTGTGGCTAATTTAGTGGGGGGGGGGGGGGGGCTCTACAGACAAGGCTGTCGACAGGTAAAGCCGTGAAGTATTGAAAATCGTGGTTTTGTAATTTGCGGCACTTTCCAACAACGTCACCCCCCGCGATGTTCAAGGGTCTCCTGATTTGGCAGTGTGAGCTGCAGAGTCGGACTCAGTTATTTAGCAACCACCCATCACTAAATACATCGCACCCCGTAACTGGGGCAGGCATTGTTAGCAAAGACAAAGATCCCCCGTGAAGCCTGCACAGGCTGCTGGGGCAAGTGCTGTTAGCGCGCGCACATCAACGCCCGTATGGCCGACATCACACCCCACCGCATTTGTCTCTACAACGCCGATATTGTACACACCCAACCAGGTACAGTACTCATTTCAGGCCGAGTCAACCCAGCGAAGGGTCTCTGAGCCGATACAGATACAACATAGACATGGCCAGGCAATTGAACTCAGGTTACGGGGTCCGTGGCGCAGTGCGCTAACCACTACACCACCGCCACCACTCGTAAAAGTTTAATTTTAAAAATGTGTAAAACCCTTGCGCGTCTCTTCCGAGGTCCTGTAATGTCAACTCAACCCACACAGCCCCTCCCCACCCAACCCCGGTGCAGCAAGCACAAACCTCTGCGTGCCCGCTCAGGCACACACCGCACGCTAAGCTGCACCGCCAGCTCCTCGCAGCTCCGATGGGCATGAGGGAGGACACGTGCCGGGCGGCAGCCAGATTGGACGGTCCATGCTCTGAGTTGGGGGGGGGGGGTGCGGGACTGGTGGGGTTGGTGCTGTAGGGCTTGGGATGCTGGGCATGCGAGTGAAAGAGCGGTGGGTGTAGCGGTTAGCGCTACGCTGCGCTACGGACCTGGCGACCCCGGTTCGATTACCGCTCACGGCTACCAACACCGGTGACGATTATCTGAACCGGTCCTGGGCATCCGCTAGGTCGACTCAGTCTCAAATGAGTACCTGGTCCGATGTGCAAATATCGACATTCGGGAGATAAAGGCGACCGGGCGTGGTGCCGGCCACCCACGCCCTCGTGTGCCGTGCCGGCTTTCATAGGTGCTCGCAAAAAGCACTTGCCCCAACAGTCTGTCGAACCTACACGGGGGATCTTTGTCTGTTCATTGCTGCTGGATGTGATGTCAACCCACAGCCCCCCTACTTCGTCCACCACAACAAAGAACAGCCGCACCCCTCCTCTACCACCACCACCACCACGAGAGTACCAAAGACGCCCCTTATAGCCTTCACAGACTGTCAGGGCAAGTGCTGTTAGCGAGCACCTATGAAGGCACACGAGGGGGTGGGTGGCCAGCACAGCACCACGCCCGACCGCCTAAGTCTCCCCAGTTGCGACGTTCACACATCACACTAGGGTACTAATTTTAGTCGACCTAGGGGAGGGCACAGGACCGGTTCAGATAATAATCGAACTCGGTTTCGCCGGGTTCGTCGCGCCGCGCGCTAACCACTGCGCCACCGCTCCCCACTACAGTGCCAACCTCCACTCCTCCCCTCCATAATTATCACACAGCGGTGAAATCCAAGCCACACACTCGACTCCCCTCCCCGAACCGAAACCCAGCCCACCGCACACCACAACACATGCAGGCGCACATGACAAGTGCCCTTCCCAGCCCAACTTGCCTTTGTCTCGCTCGCACACGGACCTGGTCGTATTCTCCAAAGCTACCGTGGGGGTTTTTTTTATAATATATGTGTATACCAGATAGCAGCTGCTACTCGAACTTGCATCTGGCTGGCAGACACAATCACGGTAAGCAGGATGACATTCGCAGCTGATGAGACACCGTTGTCTGTGTGTGTGTGTGTGTGTGTGCCGTGCTGTATGCTGACTCTAGCTGGTTGGTCGACAGCAAATGCTTTGTGTTAAGCTTAAAAATCATCCTCGGCACGCGTTGGTGTGAGAGAATCTGAAGGCTTGTGGGGACGATTTTAAAAACATATATTGGCACGATTGTGTACTATTGATGCAATATAATGCGCATGGTTGTTATATATTTTTTCTAAATGACACTATTGATATTGTCAGAACAAACAGCTGTCCGGGTCAACAATATTTGCACGTGTCTCTATCGTGCATTGCAGGTTGTTACGTTTAAGGACCAATATCGCAACGCTCCTACATTTACATGTCACGATTTGTTAGACGTGTTTTAATTCCTCACATGCACGTGTTTTGAATAAGATTGCATTGTTTGTTTTATTACTGGAGACTTAAATGTCATCACAAACGTCCCGATTATGAAGCAACGTGCATCGATTGGAATTCCAGCAAAATATATTCACAGCCACGCAGAGTGCACGGTGGGTAGGTAGGACTGGTCGCTAAAGGCCTCACGTGCAAATTTTGCATCAAGGGGCTCGCTAACCCTAAGACTGGCATTCAACTAGATATTAAGAACGTTTTTTCTATTTATATCAACGCTTTACATCCGTGGTTCTGTTTGCAACGCTTCAAGCGCCTGAGTGAACGATTGCCTTTCTGAAAGAGTTTTGAAGTGCTTGGAGCGCGGCCAAAGTTTCGGTTAAAAATACATGTACAGCCGACAACACATTGTTAATTATACCACACGCTGCTGATGAGACTTATAAAACCGAAACGGGTCGAGGGGTTTGCTTGCTGAAATAACTGCTGCTGAATAAAATATTGGTTTTGGTTCGAAATTCAGTCATCAGCTGATAGGACCTCGATGCCAGTTGAGTTCAACTTTCGATGGTTGGAACACATCCTTGCCAGTTTCATGTTTTCATTCAACACTGCTGCAATAATAAGGTAACCATGAGTTGAAACAACTCGCTGTTATATTTCAAACGATGGTCAATTTGCATTGCTTCTAATATAATTCTACAGGTGCACGGTGGTTTGCGCGCAAGCCACCCAGTGACACGACGAGATCGATCCCCAGTCAGTCACAGCCAACATCCGAATCAGCGCGGGGGTAGGTGACGTGGGGCACCTTTAAACCCCGCACAATTCGCCAGCATGGCGAAGTACAACGGGGTCAAACAACCCCAAAGACCGACACGGTGTGGGAAGGACCTTCTGCACGTGGCTTGCAAATGAGCAAAATTCAAATCAAGACAGCAATTACATTATTGTAAAAGCTCCAAACCGCTGGCTGTCACGCGTCAATCGATGTCGGTGGCGATGTGGCCACGTGTCTGAGCTGCTGGCTGGCACGGGGATCGTGGCTGCGCTGACTCATCCGTCATCCTCTTAGTTTTTTTCGGTAAAGTCACGTAGGTAAAAAAATAAAATTAAAATTAATAAAAGTAATAAAATAAATAAACTAATAATTCACGACGTTTCGGAGGCAACACAAGTCTCCGTCATCAGGTGGAACCGTCACAGCTAGATTTACTATTACTTTATTAATTTTATTTTTTACCTACGTGACTTTACCGAAAAAAACCTCAGAGTATGAATCCTTGCAGTCACGAAAGCTTCAAATCTAGAATCATCCGTCATCGCCATCGGCGGCCGAGCAAGACTGGCGAAGCGCACGCCAACGGCTGCGTGGTAAGTTGTGTCGCGTTACTTTTCACCCCGGTGCCAATGCGTGCGCGTGTCCACGCGTTTGACACCTCGTAGCGATGTCAGTGCAAGCCGGGAGCAAGAGAGGGCTTCGTAGCAACTCACGGGTTGTTGCATCCACGACAAAGCCCAGATCCCATGCGTGTCAATCTGGCGATAGGCATCATCGCATGGACGCTGGTACAGTATCTCTTTCCATCACGCCTGCCTCTAAAGATGCATTATACCTACCGCATCCGAGGTATATGTCATTCGGGCTTACTCTTGCCACGTAGACGGCCTCGCCAGCGGTGTTGGAGAGGGATGGGTGGGTCATGCTGACATGACCCACCCATCCATGCTGGGTTTTTTATTTTTAAAAATGTTGGCCGTGCACGTTAGGGAAATGTTGTTCCTGTATTTAAGAACGATTGCTTTATGGCAAAGTCTGGCGGCGCGGATGACATCGCCTTTCGATATTGCACGTGACTCAGGGCTTAATCTATCACTCGATACCTTCCGGAACGCTGCTAGGCTGACTTGGAGTAAGGATTATCGCCACAAGGCACTATCACTAGACTACTACAAGCAACGCCTATCCATCGATGGGAATCCTATATTTTTCTACATTATAATCCTACAAATCTGTTCATAGAAATAAAATGCTGAATAATGGGAGATGCACGTGGCATGCCACGTTAATTTTCCGGAACAGTGTTCCTGACCGCTCCGCTTGAAATTAAGCACTGGTGTGTCACGTGTGAACATCCTTCCCCGTCGAATTACATTGAACTCGTGTGGTAAGTGTGTGTAGCTGCGGTTTCACGCACGGCACCACACTAGACGTGAGAAGCGAGTTCTATTTCCCAGCCATGGTTATCTGAACTTGTCCTGGGCCACCACCACCCCCCCTACCCTCTCGTCGACTCAGCCTTAAATGAGCACGCGATCGTGGTGTGCTCACTACGACACTCGCGAGGTCGTCTCGGGTGTGGTGCCAGCGTCATCACCCAGCTTGACACAGCAGTCTATTGGGGATGCGCGTCTCTGTGCGTGCGCGCGTGTCTTTTGTTTGTAGGATGTGCAACTGGAAGTCCAAAACTCTCGTGGTGGCATTAAGCGCTTCTGTGGATGCAACAGCTCTCTCTCTCTCGTGATCTGTGCATGGAGACAAACGTTACCTCGGAAGGCAGGAGGACCACAGTCATATAGTGCCACACATCTGACCGGTGTATGTCCAGACTACATGATAATGTTTTAAGGGAGGAAAAAAAATACATTTGCCTAAGGAATCCCTCGGAAACTACCGCAGTCGGAAGGTTCCGAATATTAGAGCGGACACGCCGACAATTTGTACCACATTGTCGCAGCCTGCGTGTCCCTGGGAAGTAATCATTGTGCGTACATACATACATACATGCATAATTCCATAACGTGATAATTACAACGCTGTTTAGGCTGCAATAATTGTACATGCCGTATGCACACACGTCCGTTCAGTCAAATGATCATTTGCAGCTGTGGCACATAACCAGATACCCAGTACTGCTTTGGCACTGAAGACAGGGCAGGCGGAATAGAGGTACAAACGATACATTGACAAGAGGCACACTGACAGAGAGGGCCATAGACCCAGACAACAACGAACAAGACGAGGCACACAGACCATAGCGCCCTGTGAGAGACAAATGAACAGAGGCAGACAATCATAGCTACATCTAGACAACAACACCAGCTTGGACAAGACAAACAATAGATATAGACAACACAAGAGGAGAGAGAGAGAGACAATAGAAACAGACAATAGGACGATGGAGAGGCAGGCAATGGACAACGCGGGCGAGACGGAGACACGGGAAAGAGGCCCGGCTCCGGCTTCGGGGCCGTCACAGGTCCCCGGCTGTGCGGCCTCCCTCCGGGCCCGGCCGAGGGACGGGAGAGACGGCGGCCGTCGACCCGGGGGCTCCGCGGGCCCCAGCGGCCTCGTCAAGGAAGGGGCCGAGGCCACGTCTGCTGGATCCGAGCAAGTGGATGCGTTGTTCGCGAGGAAGGTAAATGTCACGTTGGAGGATATGTGATGATCATGATGATGGTGGTGGTGGTGATAGTAGTTGATGGTTGTTGTTTGTTGCGATTATAGATATGGTGATGGTCGTGATGGTTCTGATGGTTGATGGTTGTGATGGAAGTGGTGGTTGTTGTGATGGTTGTAAGGGTTGTGATGGTGTGATGGTGATGGTCGTGATGGTTCTGATGGTTGTGATGGAAGTGATGGTGTTGCGATGATTGTAAGGGTTCTGATGGTTGTGATGGTGTGTATTTTGTGTATGGGCACCGGTGGCGCTTTATACGCGATTAAAACAAAGCGGCCAAAGATAATAATTTGCGACCCCTTGCAATGGGGAGAAGAAGGGCCCAGCAGTTGTGTGAGCAGAGACCACGCAGGCAGGCAAACTCTCTAGCCCCGACTCAGTACTTGCAAATCGGCCATGAATACTCGTTATAACCGAATCGTCAACTCGCCACAGGCACTGGCTCAAACCCTAACCAGCCACGAGTAGCAACCTCTTGCTGACCCGAACCAGCTATCCATCGCGCAGTGGGGATACAAAGGCGGTTGGGGAGGGCTTTGTGGAATTGAAACCATCAAGTCGTTGTGTAATAGACACTCGCTAATATTAACATTATTTTTTTTTATCCTTTATATTAAGTTTGCTTGCTTGCGCGCTTACGACCGTGCAAATCTTTCGGTCGTTTTTTAACCCACTTCCCGATCCAATCGAGCTGACATTTTGCACACAGACTCGTTGTGCGTGACAATTTATTTTCGTGAAAATTTTTTTCCAAAATTTTACACTTTTTAGGAAAAAAGAAATTATATTTAATTACCAATTGCTTAATGGTGGCAGGCAATCATCTGACCCATAGGTGGCAGCCATCTCAAGCCAGAGGACGAGAGGACTCTAGCCGCCACGCATATAAAGGATTTATAGTGAAAAACTTTGTTTTTACGGGTTAATTTTTACCAGGTAAGGCCAACTGAGCTATATAGGTCGGCTCAGCTTAAAATGAGTACTTGGTGAGTTGGTGTGTAAGTCATCAACCCTGGGGAGACAAAAACGGTTGGGCATGGAGTCAGCCGCACCAATCCCACCTGGTGTGCCGTGCCGGTCTCAATCAGTGGGCGTTAAAGAGCACTTGGGCCCCAACTTATATGTGTACTGTGTGTGTACAATAGATATTAAACACACACAAAGCACTGAAACTATTCTCCCCTTGTCGTCGATTGGCATTCGATTACAGCTATAATAGAGGTTGGATCGTGTAAATATATAAATGTGTCGTTAAAACCCGCCACCACCAGACACAGCCAACTAGTACGTAAACAGAACGTGGCCAATGCGTCCACTAGTACAGCACACCGGTTGTGTGTTGGAGAGCCAAGCCACAACATTTACAATCTGAGTACGACGTTTCGCCGGTAATTACAACTAGCTTCATCACACATTTATATATTTACACGATCTAACCTCTATTATGGATGGTATTGGTCGCGAAAGCCGACGTGTTAAACGGATTACAGCTGTTAGAGAATGTTATTGCATGCGTAGCGTGTCGTTACGTTGAGTTGGGTGATTGCCCTTCGTGCCATCGGCGTGAAATATAGAGACACGAAACGCGTGGATCAAATGACTCAGGCGGGCAAGGTCTCCTCCCGTCACCCACAGCCTCGCGGATGGAAATGCGTATAGACCCAGTGTCAAATACAAACACGTTCTTGAGCCGAGGAGGCGATTGAAGCCAGCCAGATAGAAGGGGGGAAACATACACAAACATGCATGCGCTCACCGATTCCTCCACCCATGTTCAGGTTGAGGCCGCGGTCAAACCGACTGGACTGTTTCGTCTCATCCACACTGTTCAGCTACCACGCTGCAGGTCACAACAACAACAATAGACTCAACACACTGCCGGTCACAACAATAACAACAACACACTTACCCACTCACCACACTGCCGGTCACAACAACAACAGCAACACACTCACCCACTACTCACCACACTGCAGGTCACAACAACAACAATACACTCACCCACTACTCACCACGCTGCCGGTCACAACAACAACAATACACTCACCCACTCACCACACTGCAGGTCACAACAACAATACACTCACCCACTCACCACACTGCCGGTCACAACAACAACAGCAACACACTCACCCACTACTCACCACACTGCCGGTATTGAATACAGTTTTGGGTTCTCTCCAGATTCTCAGAGCAGCACATGTTTAAAAAAAAACACAGTCAACGTAAAATTGTCCTAACATCCCAATATGGTAATCGCACATCATTTGGTGGTGCTGCTGCTGCTGCTTGCGTTGGCAGTGGCGCACAAGCACAGCTAACAAAGGGCTCAACAACACTGCCTTAAAAGACAAAGGTATATAGTCAGCGACGTTTCGGGCAATGACCCCTTTTTCAGAGCACAATACAGTATCGGCAAGATCAACCTGCAAATTACGATCGAGACACCAGTGAAATATTTGTAAATTCTAAAAAGACACGAATATTACTGGAGTGTAATATTGTGGCCGCTGTGTTTGTGCCTGCGGGCTTAATGCGCAGAGAGAGAGAGAGAGCTCTTCCCGTCTGTGTTTCGCCATCGATGCAACCAATCCCAGCCGTGAGTGCTTTCAGCGATTAAAATACAGATCTCGAAGCGACAGATTGGTGCGCCTCGCTGGCGAGATGCCAAGACGCGCGTGCACGCGATGGCGTGGAGGAGGGATGGATGGGTTAACTGGGTTCATCACCATTGTCTGCGTTGCCATCCGATTTGTGTTGCATTACAAATCGGATGGGGGGGGGGTAACGGGGGTGGGGTGGGGGAGGGAACCGGTTAATACCGGTTAATACCGGTTTGCCACACAGAGACGTCTCGGGCTTCGGAGCCGCGCGCGATTCTTTAGGGACTGCTTCGTGACGTCATTCACATGGCATTGCAGCTCTTGAAAAATGACATTATTTTTGTTGTTGTTACCCGAATGGCTCTTCTTGTTATTTCGGTTTCCGACCAACCCCCACCCCCCCCGGTCTAGAGCGATGGACTCCCACAGTTTTAGCTTTTAAAAAAACGAAACTGAGAAACGTACGTAGAGATTCTGCTTTGGTGTAAGATTTAGCAGCAACGCTGGGCTTGCAATCCCAGAGGGTCGCTTGCTCGATTCGGCCAACGGGAATGATTGGGTGCTTTGCAGTTCATCGAGTGGCAGCGTTGCATGCGCTGGGCTAAAAAGTGCGGGTTTCGGTGTCACCCGTCTTTCAACGCGCGCGGTCAGCGCGGACGTGGCAGAACCACGTGACCGTGGCAGAAGCACGTGGCCCTCTCGAGCTGCTCCCTCGAGCGGAGGCCCTTTCCAGCAGCAGCGGCGTTGAGCGAGAAATTTGCATTGCTGCGCCCTTCACCTTTGCACCTCAACTGAAGGCAACATGCGGGGGGGGAGGGGATTAAGCTAGTGCGAGGCCGGTAGCATTTGTTATAAAGGGGCCCTCAATTAAAAAAAAACATACATATTAAAACACAACTTTTTTTACTTGCATAGTAAAGTAATTGTATTTTTTTTTATTTGCTATACAGCCAGATAATACGACAAATCGCTAACCTAAAACACCCAGTCGTCGTTCCTAAAAGTTGAAGGCAGTATAGTACTATAGTAATAGAGCAAGTGCAGAATCACTGAACCGGAAATTGATAGCTTGAAAGTATTTAGCGCGGGGGCCCTTGAAAGTTGCGGGACCCGTATCTACATACATCGCTACTCTTGCTACTGGGATAATGCGGCCCTTGGGGGTGACTTACATCATCAGGCAACTGTAGGCCGTCGGTGCCGTGAGACGGCTGCCGCTGGCCAATCGGAGTCGCACGCGCCGCGTGCCACTCCAAACGTACGCTGAACTTCTATCGCACCGTACGTAGCCAGCCGTGCTCGTCGGAGGTGCGGGGGAAGGACAACAAACTAAAGGCAAAAAGGAGTTCGAAAGAAATAAACCTCGGGCCAAAGTTGCCAGACGAATATATTAGATTTCAATTTTAGCCCGACACAAAAACCTTCAGTGATGGAATAACCTGTGCGCGTTTTGTATTCGAGACGAAGTGTGCCCTGAGATTTACCGATACTTGGACTAAATCGCCGTCATGACGCCGAGTACACGGGGCCATTCATTCACCTGACAGGAAGCTTTCAATTGGCACGAGCACGTGTTCACATCAATGTACGTTTTCTGCCTTTGCTATTAACAAAGGGAAATATCCGTGTTGCTCCAATGGAGGAATCGTAGTGTCGTCTTTGTTGAACCATTTCCCCTGACCCGATGCCTCTCTACAATGTGCTGACAGTGCAAAGAGCTGGAAGGCTTTATCAAGCCTCTCACAGCCATTCTGAACGGGCTCAAGAACGGACGCTACGGGAAAGGTGAGCCCTTGATGTTAATTAAACACGGAGCATAATTTGAAACGTTGTGTCTTTAGAACTTATCCCTAGCATTATGCAGGCAGCCATTTCCCCAAACTACAGCATTTATTTTGCATTGCAATTCCCATACAAATGTCATGATTATTTATTCAGGCGGCTTCATCACACGTTTGCGATCCAAAATGTGGTTCGTATTCAGCCTGTCTGGCCAGAACACTCTCTCTATTCCCAATATATGTGTGACTGCCACAGTGTGCCAGAGCTTGAGGAGAGATTTGTTTTTTCATTTAAGCTCCTGTACAGATAAGGTGGCCCGGTGGCTCCAAGGTCAGAGCCACTGAGCTGGCACCGCTGGGATTGAATTCAGGCGGCTGCCCTGCGGTTAAAACCGGGTTCTCGAGTCTCACGAGTTGATGGCCTTGGCCCAGTCACCAATGACTGCAGGCAAAACACAGCATTGCATTAATGTTGGTTCTGTACTCAACTTTGCTCAATTCCAGCCGTGAGAATTAGAATGTCAGTAGCAGAGTTGTTCGAGAAGTGCTGCCCTCCACTGTGTAGACCAGAATTCACTTGAAGGGATTTCAGAAATAGCCCCCTGTGATTACCAATACCCAGAGCTGTTCTTTACCCCTAATGAATGCATTGTTTTGGAAGAGATATAAATTAATAATTTGTCTCATTAATTGATATCGACAGCACAATCGAGATAAAAATGTTAAAGTGGCAAAACAAATTAACTCCCATGCGGAGGTCAGTTCACCACGTGCATGCGATTATGAAACCACTGAATCCCAGAATTTAATAAAATGTTTTCTGTTGTTGAAATCAGCGAGTAACTTACTACTGCTGGGTAAAGGGTTCCCCCATTTCCTTCCATCCCTTCCTTTTCTCCGTTGTTCCAGTCAATGAGTGACCTCTGTACTCTTTGGTTTTGTATCATGAATCTCTTCTGTTGCTCTGCTTCTTTTGTCATCTTTCCGCATCAACTCTGTAGTTCATCTTCTTGGTTCTTTCGGTAAAGTCACGTAGAAGGGAAATAATAAAAATAAAACATAATAAAATAATTCTCCCGACGTTTCAGCAACAACGCAAGATGCCGTCCTCAGGTGTCGGAAAGACAGCGTCTGAATGAACGTTCATTCAGACGCTGTTTTTCCGACAGACCTGTTCTTCACCTGAGGACGGCTGCTTGCGTTGTGGCCGAAACGTCGTGAGAATTATTTTATGTTTTATTTTTATTATTTTATTATTTCCCTTCTACGTGACTTTACCGAAAGAACTAAGAAGATGAATCCCTGCAGTCACGAAAGCTTTAAATCGAAACTCTGTAGCTATTGATGCCCATCTCTCGTCAGCTGCTCTCATGATTCCTTACCCTGTCTTTGTGACTTACTCTTTTTCTTTCGAACCTCTCAACATTCCAGGGCTCAGTGGTTTGCAGCAGAACGTTGCCATTGACCGGATACAGAGGATTGTGGGAGTGCTGGAAAACCCAGGCATGGGGTAAGTTTATTTATTTAACATTTTTCTCCTTAATGTCTGAACTGTTCTGACGTGAGAGCTAATAAATTCACAACACACACTGAGCGGCACTCACAAGGAACATCCAGTGGGTGATGCTGGCGCCCGATCGGTGCGCTGTGGCACCACAGGGAGGTCATGTTCACTTTAAGCTATTCCACGCAAATGGGCGTTACAGGCTGCTGTGGGCTAACATTGCGCACAGCTGAGAGCATTATAGCAAAATCCATTGCTGTACTGTATTATGCTTCCACGTCTATGCTCCCAGCCTCCAACCCGCACTGACTGGCGTAGAGAAGTATGGTCAAACGCCTTCTCCGTGGTGGACATGGCATGGGGTGGGAGACACCCATCCAACAGTGCAATGAAAAAACGGCTGTCATTTGCATTGATGGTGTGCTATTTTATTAACAACAGGCACTTGTGTTGGTGTGAGCTGCTTTGACTGTAAACTATTGCATGGGAGAGTGGGCTGCTGTATCGATGGTCGTGGCGGCCTGTCCTTTCAGTGGAAAGTACCTGGCCACCCTCCAGCAGGTGGAGATGATGCTCAAGGCCTGGTTTCCCAAGGTAAAGCCTCAGCCATCAACCAGCGCCGAGCGAATGCAGGTGACCAATTGCACGGCTGCACGTACGTGCAGAAACGCCGCCCTTTGGGGTTCTCATCAGCTGAATGCAAACGCGGGTCTCCTCTCGACAGCTGCGGTGTGCTGGCCACTTGGGATCACAGGATGAAAGACGGATAGTGCTGGGATATCGGATTATTTGAATATTCGGTTACTCTACCGGTTTGACCAGTCAGATTGCACGAAATTAGTTCGGGGGTGGGGGGTGGAATCACCTTTGTTGTTTGGAATTCAATCAACAACAAAAAAAGTCCTGTGAAGATGTCCTGTAAAAGTGGCTTATTATGAGTCAAAGTTTTAGTGGTTGGTTAATTTCTTCATACACTTAATCGACTTCTTCATCATCATGGCTTGTGGTCGGGGCATACATTCGAATTACATTTTATTCGGACAGAATCGAGTCTTAAGATTAGCTGGGTAACTCTGTGTAATGTACTCTTGAGACCTATAACTCTAGGGCTGATCATTGATGATGATTATGATGGATGACTGATGACGGTGGATGATTGACAATCGATTGTGATGGCAATATCTTACAAGTCTAATTTGTTTGCTTGCAGAATGTACACCCTGCTTCTGACTCAAGAATTCTTCCCCATGACAAGCTAAACGGCGATGTAACGAGCCCAAATCCAAAATTAACAATCGCTAACCACTGCCAAACCTTGCAGAGCAATGCGGCTTTGGCGTTTGTGACGGCACAAGACCCACCGCAGGATCACAGTGAGGACAGCACAATCGATCTCAAGGGCATGCCCCCAACCAGCATCACGTGGACGCACGTTGCCCCGATTGCGTGCCCGGCGCTCGGCGAGAAGGCATCGTACGCCACATCGACTGGCGGCATCGCTCACTCTGCCACGGGCTCTCACGTGCCGCCCGATTCCGGCGCGCAATTCCGACGGTGCTGCAGCCTGCCCGCGTCACTGGGCAGTGCGGAGTCATCGCCGCGCACTTCTCAAGGAATCTCGCCCAGCCACGCCAGCGCTTCCCCCAGCTCGGCCGACGTCTTTGTCCCGTTAAATCACCGACCGGTCGCAGACTGCGCCCACCCCCAAGACGGACGCAAGGGCACAAGATCACCGTCCTCTAAGGCACGCGATTTGGCAGCACCGAGAGAATTCTGGGCGGAGCAGGCACCTGCTGCTGCTGCTACTGCTGAAGCAGCCGCGGGCCAGGACGCAGTGGGGCGGCACTCGTTGCCACGCTTTTCCCAACAGCGGGAGCGCGAGGCCTCGCATACTCGCAGGGCGCCAGCTCCAAGCGACTGGTTCAGCCTCAATAGTTGCTACCAGGCGGCGGCGGTGGCGGCGGAAGAAGACGCAGGCACCTCCAGTCGCATGGAAAACGAGCGTGCGGGGGGCATGCACGGCGGCGTGAATCGCAAGAGAAGGCCCACAGAGTCTGTAGCACCTGGAACCCTTGTCGTGCCACGGCTCAAGATGGCACGGCAAAAATGCGAAATCCCATCTCCCCCCCACGAGCGTGGGCACAACATTTAACAGGTTGCTAAACACAATACGGCAATTGTAGCAATATTTTTTTCTCAAATTTTTTTCAAACTACTTTTATGCAACGGTTATCTCAGAAGCCTTGAGTGGCAATCATCTTGATGCGAAACCTTTTTTTACACTTGCCGATCATTTTATATTCATACAAATCGTATTATCAACAGCATATGAAATAAAAACTGAATTTTCGTGAATTAATGGAGTTTTAGATTAATGTAACCCTTCCAGTGCTATATTATTGGCCGTAGTGTAGTGTATGATGCAGTCTATTTATACTGCACGAAATGGCACGGTAAAAGTTATCACTGTTTTGTTTTAAAATGTGTTATCGTCTTACCAAGTCATATTTTCATTATTCCTAACTTTTTATACACTGCTGGTGAGCCAAGTGCAGAGGACATTTGTGAATGTGATTTGACGATTGCTTCTTCGTGGACAATACAAATGTACTTTTGCTATTTCAGAATTGCATGTTTAAACGACTTTGTAATTGTGAAAAAAAATAGTTCCGTATTTTATAGTTGAACATTCGATGTGGTGCAACAGGTAAAGATTAGTGCATGTTAGCTGCACCGGTGTTCATGCAAATTTGTGGATTGTTCGTGTTGGGTGCAGCCTTCATGATATGCTGTAACTCGTAAGTGAAAATAAATATTTTTTAGACACTTTAATAGTCCGTCTGTCTACATACTCTGTACAAGACATCTGTTTACAATAGCCTCATTACTGGAGGCTTTGATATCGCAGATATCAACATTGATTCACCACTCAACTCAAATAGAGTTGTAATCAAGATTCATTGTGCTTAGCCGTGGAGCTGTCGGTAAAAGGAAATACCATCAACTCCTCCATTCTGTCTCTAATGAAAATTGTAATAAAGTCCATCAGCCTATTTTCCAATATTTCAAAAAGATTAAGCCACTGAAGCTGTGCACTTTGAAATCTAGATTTCTTTAGAACAGCTTTTTGTGAGGATTTGTCCCCTCCCCCACCTGATTAGTGCCTGGCGACCGTGTGAAAGACGTTGAACAGACATCCATCCAGCAACATTTAAGCAAACTCATGGAGACACAGGTATTCTTATATATGTTCAAACCTAGTTGGATAAATAGGCCAATACCTTTATAAGTAAAGTATATCGCTTTCTGGTGATGCAAGGGTTCAAGCATTCATTTTATAAAAATACAGTACATGAAAACACATTCCTGCGGAGGGAGCTGGTAGGAACGTTGGGTTGCTCGGTCAATGGCCAGGGTCAACGGTGCCGTCGTGTATTCCGCAAATATGCCCTACTGTGAGGGCGGGCACAAGCCGGCGTGAGTAGGTTAAACGTTGAGTTTTATAAGGGCACCACGGGGTGACCAGCCCCTCCCCACCCCACCCAGCCCCTCCCCACCCTCCCCACCCAGCCCCTCCAATCCCCACCCGGACCCCTCCCACCCCACCCAGCCCCTTCCCGACGAACGGACACAATAATCCCCTGTGGGCTGGTGTAACCAGGAGGCTCCTACCAGTATAAAATTACGTAACATAGCAACATTTAAGGCGTGAACAAACCTATACTGCCTCCTATGACTCATGTATGTCCTTCTGGGCTAATTCATTGGAGCACTTCCCTTGAACTAATGGTCTCTTCATCAGTCCTTTCCTGAGGAGAAATGCATTTCAGTGCCCTAAATAGCAATGGGTAAAGCAAAACCACGACTCCACGACAAACATTCACCTCGAACCACTGCAGACGACGGCAGCACATTTAAACAAGTTGTCACGCTCCTCCAATACCTCATTCGTTTTTATTTCATTTAATATTTTTACAACACTTTCAAGGCCATACCAATTTTTGTTTTCTCACCAAACATAATAAAACATTTCAAATAAACAAACACAATGATCCTGACAAAATAGCAATCAACATTGAAGAACAACAATTACTATTTTTGGTCCATTTGAAGGCTCCTCTTTGGCTGATCTGTGAATATCTTTAAAGAACTGCCCCGACAGGGATAAGTGTTGAGCCGCTCGCCACTTGACAACTATCCGGGCAGCTAACCAAAGCAACACGGTATTTCCCGTTCTATTACTATCTTGACATTGGTGGGAGCACACACAAAACATACGCCACGTGATCGGCAATTGTACGAACTACGTAAATTATTTAAGAGGACAGTGTTTTTTTTATATATAAATATTAAAATTCTGTATATCAAGTGCATGAATACCTGTTGAATAAATGGTGAAATTATATGTAAACATGATGTACTGTTTTTTTCAACAGAATGCTCATCACAATTTGCGTTGATTTAAATCCCCCTCCCATGAGAACACACTATAATTGCACACAATACTGGAGACGAAATTATTCAAACTCATTCCACTGTACAACAAGCATCATGACCCCATTAGCCCCCCCCAAAGATCGCGCTGTCCTGCCATATACTGTCGTCGTATTCAAGGGTGAGAAGGGTCAGGAGGTTTAATTAATAATGCATAGAAAGTATAAACTAATACCCACAAAAAGTGTTGCAGTCCGGCGTGCACAGAATACTTCATCAAAGGTTATCTTCACAATTGAGCAGAGAGACCCGCTCTGGACACTTACACGAGGTGTCCTCTTGCGTGTGAGACACCACTGAGAACAAAAACGCTGTTTTGAATGTTGCTCTCATGCTCGTCTTCAAATTGACTGTATTCCCTACGGTTCCTATATTATAACAGGCGACTGCAACTCACCATAGAGTACGTTCATTTAAAAAAAAGAAGTGACTTTTTGTTTTACAATCCCATAATTAAATTTTAAAATATGCCTGTTCATACAGTGTATTCAAAATAAAATTAAAGCTTAAAAAAAATATATGCACGACAATTACATGTAATAGAGTCTGTGTGTGTAGCGGTGAGAAAAAAAGTAGAATTTAAATACAGATCGATCCCCATGCTCACTATATATTTACAAGTCCTATTTTGCCCTCAGGTTTTTAGAAAACCCAAACCAGTAGTTGAACTCCCAGAATACATGCACATCAACACAAATCTGTCTATCCCAATTAAATACTGTAAACGCGTTTGCACTTTGATCACTTTAGTGTCAAGAGAGACTTGGGGGAGTGGCTGCTGCTGCGACGTTCTGCTGTTGTCTCTGCTGCTGCTGCTGCCGCTGCTGGGCAGAGCATCACGCGACGTCCCGATCTTTCCGCGCGCGTCGCTCGAGCGCCCACTGCATGCTCCACACGCTGAGTGGCCGCATGTAGGCGAGCGAGCGGAACACATCTTGCTCGCAATACGCCTCGGGCGTCTGGAAAGCCATGCCCAGCCGCTCCCACACTGTGCGGTACGTGCCCTCGGCCGTCTTGAAGCCTTCCTCTGTCAAGCCCTGGAAACGCGCAACACAACCGCTCACTTGTTGGGTGCTTTGTACACACGTTGCCACAAGCAGACGTTCGGTGCCAACTGCAGTCCAACTGCAGTGGTGGTTATACGGGGGGGAAGGCAGGTGAGCTTCTAATGAACAGCAGAAACCGGACGCCCACCACCCCCCTCCACGTGTGCCCTCCATTCACAACGAAGAACCTCAGCATGGCTGAGGAGGCCCCTAAATTCAAGTTAAAGGAGGTCATCAAGGACAATGCCATCGATTCCAATGAATATCGCCATTGCTTCCTTCTTGCTGCCATATTCCACGACATTTTCAGTCAATACTGAACATCCAAGATTTTTTTAACTTAGTGTCCCATGCAAGTGGCGTCGCCCCGGTATGCCCGTTTTCTCGGTCCCAGAAAAGTCACGATTCAAATCTTATTTTAACTGCAGCTTCAGAGTTTATAGTTATTTGTTATATTTGAAAAGTATTCCAGTTAACGTTGATGTAATTATACTTGTGAAATGGTTTTCCAAATGTAACTGAATGAGACATATAGTTTCCCCATTTTACTTCTTATATTCAAACCAAAATAAAGAGGTTATACCACCGACGCAGAAATGGTATTAAGGATTGATTCACACAAAAATGTACTCAATTACAACAAAACAAAAACAGAATGCTTATTTGATGCATAAACAAAGACTCAACGCTACAATGCACCATTTGTTTTTTGCCAATAAATCGCATTTTCAAATATAAGAAAACAAGCCTACATTCATATAATCACAAAACATCGGACACGTGTCTGCGAAAGAATCACACTGAGCCTGTCCTATTAAGTCAGGGGACGGCAACCTACGGCTATTATAGAACTGCTGCGTGACATTATTTATTAAGAACCACCATCTCGTATTCACGTGCATTGCGGCTCTTGTAATATTTAGATTTTTACCCAATAAGAAAAAAAGTGGCTCTTCTTGTTTTTTTGCCTTGTTTGCACATGTACATCCTTATTGTCAATCCACTGCTGGATGTGGGCCTCTCTACACCATGCGGGTCACTGGGGTTATTCGACCAAACTTCACCACACCGATCAGGGTGGGTTGATGAAGGCAAGGAGCGTAGACACGGAGCATAGCAAGCGCGGTATGAAAATAGATTGTGTAGCCACGCAACCACACAGTATCCAATACCAACCTGGCATTGCATTGTGGTCCCCCATTCAAGCACTATCCACCAGGCTCAACTCTCCTTGCCTTCCGAGATTTGACGACATTCGTAAGTATCCCGTTTTATTTTGTCACGTACATTCAACGTGTGACTTATTTATACAAGTACACCCTTCTACAACACTGAATACAAGTATGTGTTTAGTCCAGTGTACCAATGGCTTGTTCAGTTAGCATCATAGGAATTCTATAGGTCTGCTCATGCAGCCAAGGAACTGAAAAGTGTGTGGTGCAGAAGCACACATGCACTATTAATGTTATTACAATAAGCAGTTGTGGTTACTGTGGTGGCACTTATTATAAGGAACAGTGGTGGTGGTTCCTGTGGTTGTACTGTTATTAGAAGGAACAGTGGTGGTTACTGTGGTGGTACTGTTATCGTACCCGCACCTCCGATTAGCACGGTTGCATACGTACGGTGCGAAAGAAGTTCAACATACATCCACACACACACACGCACCTCTTGGATCATGGTAGCAGCCAGGGAGTAGACAACGCCCACCCACACCTCGATGGACTGCACGCTGGTGGTATCCACCGTGCCGTTGGGCATCATCCCGTTGACTGCTCCCATAGTTCCGCCGGAGAACTTCATGACATTGAGGTCATAGATCGTGCGCAGGGCGCTCTGCACTTGATCTTTGGGAAATGCCTGAGGAGTGTACAGTCACTTCTGAATTACATTATGCTTAATGAAGCAAAATACTGTTATACCCATTATTATACTTACTGAAATATTAAGCTCCCATTTGTTGATTAATGATTAAAGGTAACTGATTAGTATTATGTTTCTGCCTGTCCGGCTTTGAATATAATTTACAGAAGACAACGGGCTCCCTCTGCTGAGAATACACTTACAATGCATCCAAGGATGAAGATAAGATGTTACATGGGAAGGGATGGCGAGCCGATTCAAGAACAATCGATTCCTGATTCCATAACATTTCAAAATCATTTCTACTTTTGGTAGGAAATGGAGTCGACTGCAAACCCATGATCGATTCCAATAATTTTCACTGAAATTACACAATTGCTTTTTATTAATTCAAAAGTTACCGTATTCGAACATAAACACGACTCTCTTTCTTTACTAAACTATGGTGGCTGTAGGAGACAGCCACCATAGCTCCTGTGTGAATTGTGATTATTTTTTGGTTAAGTTTAAACAATATTTAGATTTGCTATTATTTCATTGTTTAGCTTTATAAAATAGTTATCATTGTGTGAATTGTGATTATTTAGCAGTTATTTTTTTTACATTTTAATTGTAATTTTTTTCAATGCATTTACATGTAGGTATCCTCAAGTATTTGATCAACATGCAGGAACCATAAAATAATCAGAACCTACAGCTAATGTTTATTCTGTTTCTGTATATAGTTAGTTTTCATCACTTAATTATTGAATTGCATTAATTCAGCAATAATACATTCTACAACAAAATAAAGGATTGTAACAACAGTTTTTTTAAGGGAAGGGAGAAGGGTTGGAATCGGAATAGAATCTGGAATAGACTCAAAAACCCTTGAAATCAGCCATCCCTACATCACGGCCAAATCCATTGATTCCGCTTCACCGAGCCAACACGTTTCTACCCTTTGCCAGAACCCACAACTGCTGCACAGTAGGTCTTCCCTAAGGTCACCGAACCACTTGAATGCCTGTCTTCGCAAATGGTCCTCCTCCATTCATTAAAGGAAGATGCCTCAGAATACAGTGATATCTTATCTTATAGATAGGTAACTAGCAAGTGCATCGCAGGTGGTCGAACACGAGTTAAGACCACCTAATACAGAGCTCCACTGCAAAAATTACTCCCTATGCATTTCAACGTGACATCACTATGATTAGACCACGTTGGTATGCATCTAACGGATATATGTATTACATTGAGTCATATTTTAAATTCTGCTTTAATTCAACTACAAAGGAAGTTTCTAACCTTCGTTTTATATTTTTTCCCAAGTGGCCATGACATTTATACCAAATCCACTGAATGAGCCCCAGAGCAGTGGAGTACTGGAACATGTTTGTGCAGTATAAAGGTAATGATATCCGTACCTCGTACTCTCCATCACCCAGATTGGAGGCTCCAAGATACCACTGGCCAGCACACTGATCAGACATGACACTTGCCGAATACAGCTCTCCACTGCTGTCATATTTCCAATACCGGCCTGCATTGGGAGAAAAACAACAAACTGTGTGTCAATTTACACTTTTAATTCTATCGAGGGATCTTATTGAAATGTCAGGCTCTCATTTGTAAAGAATATTCACACCTGTACATGCGTAGTAAGTTTATATTTAAATTGATTTAAATGTTTAGATTTCGACGAGATCACAAAAGATTGTACAATGGCCTACTTTTGTGAGAATCATAAGCTCTTTAATGTTCACTCTAGAGCACACGGGGCACTTTTATAAGGTCGCACACTGTGCACAAGCCTAACAGGTCAAATGAATTTATTCCGTCACTTTACAAACTCACCCATCCACCATTCCACAGCTTACTCTCAAGCTCACCTAACCCACCCACTGTTCTGACAGCTTGCTCTCAAGGTCACCCAACCCACCCACCGTTCCACAGCTTGGTCTCAAAGGCCTTCTTGCCCCGGCGGAGGATGTCATCGTACTTGTTGAAGCAGGTCAAGTCACCCATTATGTCGGCCATCTTCCGCATGGTGCACACGGAGGCGAGCCACATGCCCCCGCAGTACGCACTGCCATGGGTAGGGCAGCACAGAGAGGATGCCATGGACAATAGAATCGTACAAATGTAAGTTACCAAATTTCTGGGAGGCTCTATCAGGACACATGATGAGCTGGCATCCCGTGTCCATCAGCCCCAGCCACTATTACAAAGCTACACCAAATCAATCACGGGTCCCACTCATACAAGAAGTGCAATCGCCCTTTCTGATATTTGCAATGCAAAACATGTTCGAGAGCATTAGGCTCATAAGTAAACACTTCATCTCACAAGTTATTTCCATATTTTAACAAGAGCATGTGTCACTGCACACTTATAAATCCAATAAAAACATTTTTACCATCATGGCACGAATTTAGATTTTTTTTTGCACAGTGCCGCAAAAGAGTTTACTTGCATCAATGACGTAAACCTCTTTTGGAGTAGCTTGTATGGATTCATTAAAGACATTAATTACTTACATGCAAATGGATGTACAATGATATCACCTCTCCATTAGGAGGAAGTATCAATATGAAGGCATTAATGAAACAGAGCTGATCACAAAAGGGTCCCATGGGTTCTACAAGTCCCACCTGGCTCCTTTGACTGCCCATCCATCGTAAGTCTGGTCTGCAGCGCCAGAATTTTCAATTAATCCATCGCCATCAGCGTCAAACTCGAGCTCGGAATTCATCACAATCTAGTTAGGGATTTTGCAACACACGAATGCAAGAGACGGGAGAGAAAAATAAGTACATTTGTTAACTTCTTGAATGCCTTACATTTAATTGAGTACAATAATCATATTCTTGTCACATCTAATTAACTCTGATGATTAGAGTTGCAGTGATATGGCGATATAACCATACGTTGTATGATAGAAAAAACGCATTTGTGTCAAAACAGATGAACACACACAATACGTATACCCTTCATGTGTTTGCAGTTTGTCTTACACAACCAATCGGCTCAACGGCCGACTTCTGCCGTATCACAAATTTTGAAAAATATCATTACATGTCTGCTCATTTAATTTTATTTTTTGCATTTAATTTCTAAGCAAAACATTTGTAAAACAACACAAGATATAAACTTTACAAACAAATAGCTATATTACCTATGACCCACGTGTTGTCACATCTGAATAAAGTTGACATATCAATTTTAATCCTAGACTATTATAGTAGTACATTTCATGAATTACTCAACGTGAAATTCACAGCACGTGCATTAATAGCATACTGGATTGTAAAGTTTAAGATTTGGAAAATCGTGGCAGTAGGATTATGTGTGAGCGAAATGCAGCTGAAGAACCTTTAAGTAATCATTATTCATAATGGACGTACCGCAAAGCACAAAAGGAATACAATTAAGAAAAAGAGAAACGCAATTACATAGCTATGGGAAACTGACATCGTAATACTGATCGTGAAAATGTACACCGTTTCACATCATGTCGTGAAAAATGAGATCAAGGCAACCCGAGTGATAAGGGAAACTTCCCAAGCGCAGTAGCAATTGAAAGCTCGGTGAAGGTTTTGTGAAGGGTAAACGCTCTTCTCTCTCCTTGTCACAGTTAGGGGGCTTAAAGGACACAGATTAAGAGCCTCCTGATCGTTTTATAAAAGAGAAAATGATGCACTCTCGGAATGAGAGCTGACTTTAGTGGAAACCCACATGAAATACCGAGCTCTGAGATATAAAAAACCAGGGATTGTGTACACCTCACTTAGCTGTGTTGAGACAAAAGATAATAAGATTGGTATAAACTTACAAACTATGATTTTTGGCAATGTGGTCACATCGGGGCCCATGTTGCAATGCGCATTGACAGTTATTTGAAAGAATAAGGTTAAAGCATTTGTGACTCATTCATTGTATAATTTTCAATTGACATAATAGCACTGTAGCAAAGCTGAAGAAAGTGAAATAGATTATTAAACTTGAACATAAATCTAACTAGCAAGGATAACTTCGGATTTAATATCAGCATTGCTGAAAAACACCTGCTCTCTGCTGGATGTTACTGGGAAACAAACCCATAAAGGACTTTCATAACAGACGTACAGGTATAATGGATTTAATGCATACAACCATTACGCTTGACCCAACTATAAAGTATTAATTAAAATTGGGTATAGAGAAAAAAATTAACTCAGTCATTTTCAATATACAGTAAAACCTTGGATTGCGAGCATAATTCGTTCCGGAAATGTGTTTGTAATCCAAAGCACTCGTATATAAAAGCACTCCTATATCAGTTGTGATCACGTGACGCTCGGCAGACAAAGCGTATACACGTACTACTCTTATTGCAAGACCTCGCTCGTTTATTAAATCAATTAATATTTATTTAAAAATTTTGCTCGTCTTGTAAAACACTCGCAGACCAAGTTACTCGCAATCCAAGGTTTTACTGTATACCTAATCTTTAACACTGCTTCATAAGGCCCTGTTAATTACCACCACTTCCCCTGGAAGAGTGATCCATAACGCCTCAATAAGCATGACACAAGTACATGCAATGCCTACCACTACCTTCCTAGCAAGAAGCCCGGTGCATATCGCCGCACGGTGGCACACAACCACACAGTAAATGTGCAAAGATGAATACATTCAAATCAACTACACTCATAATCTGTGCATTAAATCAGATCAGGAGGTTAATATTAATTACAATCCTTAACAATTCTACTGTGCACATGGTAAATGTATAAAAGCATTAGATAAATAAAAGTGATAACTTTTAATGGCTTTTTTTAATGCAAGAAGTTATGTACTCAGCAGTGCATTCAGTCGGAACTTGCATAAGATTAACCTTCTGCTGTTAACACATTCCACAGGAGACTATACAGTACTAAACAGTGGGATTACCTGATCCATGGATCAGCCATGAATCGATGCAGTGATTAACCGTCAATGAATCGATAATAACGAGGCTGTTGGATTAACTATGAACAGAATCAATGCAATCGACACCTCCCTGCAGGTGCCACAAGACCATATATGGGCAAAGATACACCCCTACGGGCAACACCACGCCTACTTTCTTCCATATATGGGCTGATCCACGCAGGCATTTCCCTCCAGGACACAGAGCGTTATAACGAAACAGCATTATAAGAGGCAGTGCTATAGGAGGTATCACTGTGGAAATAATTTGAGAATCAAATCGTGACAGCAAATTGATGAAATCACAGAAGGAAGAAGGGTGAAATGTTACTTGCCAACAACCCATTCAAACACAGAGATTTGCGATTTGGGCAGCTCACCTTGCAGACTGGCCAGAGTCTGTCGAGGTAGCGGCGGTCTCCAGTTGCGTGGTAGTCACGGTAAACCTGCAGCACAAACTTGAGGTTGAGGTCACGCCAGTCCCTCGTGTCGTGAATTAGGTACGCGTTCAGTCTCACCCAGGGCTCATCGTCTGCACCGCAACAGCGCACGGAGTCAGACAAGGGCCAGCTGGTGTGGCAGACGGAACAAAGTACAACACACCGCTGGCTGCACGACATAGAAAATCATTCTGTGCGCCATAATTAAACAAACGGTTTGGCTTGACAAAATTTCGTGAAATTTGTATTTTGGCAATTGCTTAAGCAAAATTTTTACGTGATAATAAAATAAAAATGGGTGCTAGCGAAATTATTTAGGAGGTTCCAATCCCAAACACAGTCAGGAGATCTTGTTATTGTGTTTACCAAAACAACATTGAACCATGGTAAATGCAGAAGTTCGAATCTGGTCCTGTAAATAATATACTGCATATTCACATCTGAAACCTAAATGGATTGGGAAATAAGTGCAGTCATTATTGTTTTGCATTTTCCTAATGCCCTCCTGACTTCCACCTCGATTAATAATATAATCTCCCACGTGGTGGTGTAAATATATTGTAAAATCCTCCACCTGCTATTGAAAGGTACAACGTATACACCATGGAATACCACTAGAGGGCTCTATCATGGCACTGCTAAAACTCAAGTGAACTTTTTTCCTAATGAATCTTCAAACGAGTAGCATAGCGTGCGATTCACATGGGGCCTGGTGCAGAGAATGAAATGGGCACCCCACTATCTAATTCCACCCCCCCCCACTCTTTATAGCCCTGCACATCTGGGACTCTCCTGCCCATGGGCCCCAGTGCAGTTGTACCACCGGCACACTTGATAGCTATGCCGCAGCTTCCAACCCGCATCAAGAGAGACCACCTCAAACCCTTGTTAGCATGGGACACACAGAGAAGTGGTGCGTAACGGCAAAAATCATCTGACATAGGTGATCGTTCCTTGCGTTGTGTTTTCCATTAAGTGGATTTTTTTTTGTAACATACAGGGGTCTCCAACGTCGTGTGGGACCACATGCTTGGTCTTCACATTGGAGCGGCTTCCATTCATCAGGTGGGTTCTCTGCTGGGTATCCTCCGCCAGAATCGCACTCGCTGGAGTGAACATGACAAGACAGCAGGGGGTGGAAGCAAACAGACAAAACACTTACACTCACGCGAAATTATAGCTTATTAAGATAATTAACTATGACTTGACAGGAACTTAATGAATTGAGTTAATGTGTGCTTTTGGAATGTGAAACATTTTGTTATTATCTCAGAAGTAATATTCAAATCAATTTCAAGAACTATCATAGGAAGCAGCTGCTGCAGGCCATTTTGTTAATATTTATTAACCGAGTTTCCATTGTCTCCCTGCAGCAATGCTAATTATTACGACCGATTCACGCATTGAATCCTGCGTGTGAGAATGCATTATTTTCAATCGCTATATTGTACGTAATCACGTTACGTAAACACTGCAATTAACAATAGATTCTAGAAATACCATAATGGCAAAAGATTAATCAACTCTTGAACAAAATCGTCATCCTAAATTGTGGCAAAAAACTGAATCGCGAGGGGGGGGGGGCAGCATGTGCAAAGCCTCTTAATTACCTATAACTAAAGGTGTTAGCTGCTTGTACAAATTGTTATCAAATATTGTTGCAAAATCATTACATATATAATTCTGTAGCAACAGCTATGAAACGTCACGAGTAGCATCACTAACATCCATGTCACTGTATTCAAACTTAAATATCACAGTTGTCCCCACACTTCAATCTATTCTACATTGCAGTTATAGGATGCCCATTTCAAGTAAAGCTGTGGCTGTCTTCCAATGACCAATAATATTATATATGGCTACACTATTGGACACATTCACACACGTGGGTATATAAGCACACAGTAATGTCAATGACAAGGGCAGCATAGTGATTGTGGTTTCATGTAAAAAAAAAGATGATTTCACCCTTCAGACACCCTTCTGTCACTCTGTGCCTCTAAATTACTTGACCTCAACATGTAGCAGCTTAGAGACCACGTTAAAATGTACTTCGGTTACCTTTTTTTTTTAAAACAAGGAAGCAGTTTATGAATTTCTTCCCTTAATTTCTTGAAAGATAATTTCCAACAGATGTAGCCATTTGCATTGACGATGCATACGATACGAATTAAGACGCAACTTAACGATAAAAAGGCAAGATTTATAGCACTCTAAAAATATAATAAAGTGCACGAAAAGCCAAAAATTTATCAACATGAAATTTAAAAGCTATTTAAAGGAATATGTAATCCAACAAACAGCACTGACGTGCTGAAATGTATTAAGCAGTCAGTGACATCACTGGAGTGCGATAATGGAGCACCTCACTTTAAAGTAATTAAAACATAAAAGAAACTTTCAATTCTGACAGGGAGCCTCGGAAACACAGCCAAGGTATGTATCTACAAGTTGACATGCGTTTTTAGTTTGCATCTTCTTTCAGAGCTTTTACATTTTATGAACATAATTTTTACATTACAGTCCATAACAAGATCCCTCACCAATGTCATACTGGAGGCTGAGCTGCAGCTGTGGCCACAGCATGATCAGCGCAAAAGAGGCATAGAAGTGCACGTCGTAGGTGTTGAACATGCGGTACTCTTGCCCTGCAGAACCACACAGCAAACCGCGATAATAACATTTACAGCACAAGATGGACGCACTAGTCTTGGCAGGCATAGCCAGGCATGGTTTATAAATGCCGTGGTAAACACCAGGGCCTTTATTGCCGGTCTCACAGTGATGGGTGCAAAAGCCAATATCGGTATGTTTTGTGCAGGCAAACACTGAAACAGCAATCAAGGTCACGGCCTGCTGGTCCGTCAACGGTCACCAGTCGTATCCCCGAAACTATCATTCGCATTCATGTCGAAGCATTTTTGAGTGCTTCTGGGAGTGTGGTTTCAGATATAAAACTGACATTTAATGATCCATAAAGCACAGAAGCAAGGTGAAATTAAGTTAAGATTTCAAAGGGTATTAAAGATGTACATTTCTGCACCAACATGCTGTTGTCCCTGCATTCCAAATGTTTGTGAGGACCAAGTAGCCAGTATAACGCCTCGTAACCTCGTCACTGTTCACAAGTGGCGAGGTTAAAACATTGAAGATGGCATCGTATGTCAATAAACACGGTGTGGCTTTACAAGTGGTACATGAGAGGCACTAAGCCATTTTGAGATGAAGCTAAAGCGTCCCCTCACAATGCCCCAGGGGCCCATGTCGAGCAGGATAGTGGGCCCGTGAAGAATATTAAGGGCACACAGCAGAATATGGCTCGCCACACTATCGAGAAGTGGGCAGTGCAGCTACCCCTAATCTTCATGTGCCCATGGAATTATCTGATAGTGAACTGGCAATGCAGACACAGGCTTGTTAATAATAATGTCCATCATTCAGTAAAGCAGCACTGAGTACCAAGACTCATTTTCAGCAGGATTTTGCATTGGGAAGTATCACCAATGTCATGAATGAGCGTTTTGACATTGCAGCAAAACACGGGAGAACCCGACAGGAAAAAACAACAACAACGAGTTGGAGAGGATAACACTCAAAGCTCCACACAGAGAAATTCAATAATCTCCTTGCATTGCAATATCCTGACCACGTACCAACCCAGTGGGTTTGGGAGTTTCACCAACGTGCAACGTGAGCCACTGCACCCAGCTCAAAACCCTTACCACAAGACCTTGCAGGCATGCCAGAGAAATAAACGTGAAACAAACGGCAGCACCGCACACACGCTTATGCCAAACTGTGCCGACGCACCCTCGAGGTAGGCGAAGCGGCCGTACTCCAGCAGCGTTTCGTTGCAGGGCAGCGGCGACGTGCCGTTCATTGGCCGCACGTCATTGTCGTCGCACCCCTTGGGTGCTTCCTCCGTACGAGCCTCGACCCACACGGTTCCTCCATCCGTCACAAAGTAGAGCTCATTGAACACGGCTGACTTGTACCAGGCTGGCAGGGAGCTGCGCACGAGAAAGTGGACATCACAATGGCATTGCCTGAATAATTTCGCTCACGAGCATGAACAGTCAGTCAGCAGTTAACAGGTCTTCTATTCAACAGATGCTACTTTTATGCACGGGAAGGGGCTTTAAGTGGGGTGAATGCTCCATATGACAATTTAGCAATTATAAACTGTACTCTTAATTGGAACTGTTGACAGCTTGATTAAGCAATTTTTTTTCTGTCACTTCATCTTGATACGAAGAAAAAAGTTCCTCTTTCTATTTTTTACTCGTTTAAATCTGTCTCCAGCCATGTGCTTATCACAAGAGCTATGACCACTGTGACACAACATCTCAAAAACATCACTGCAGTAGAAAATATAAAATAGCTCGAGCTTTACAATTACTTTGACTTTTAATGATAATGCTGTTCTTACATTTATTGAGGTGCAAGGTTTAACTGCATTTCCGTAACCTTAATTAATTCTAGATCATGTGCTTCATGCTAGCCTGCATTCATAAACGCATCGATGGGATGACTGCATCGATTTAATAACTATTTTACTTTTTAAAAAATGCAGTGTGCTACATCATTATTATTTGCTGCAGAAATTGCGCACTTCGATTAAATATTACAAAATTCAATAAATCGCAGCAGGGTTTCACATAATACAAAACATGAAAATTTTACATCTATAATTAAGACAAGCAATTAATAAAGTACTTCATCATTGAATTTAATGATGCTGCGACTATTAAAAAGCAAATCTATAATTTCTAAACACCCTATACTACCACCAATGTAATATGCACCTCACCTGTGTATCTGGGATTGCAATCCAACCCGATTGCCAAATTATGCAAAACTAAATGATCCAACTTGCAAAATTTCATTGTAGTGTCAGGAATTATGACATAAGGGCGCACCAATTCTTGAAATGATGGCATTGATTTTGATCAATCAATGCCTCTTCTGCCTGAACCCCTTGCTCTGGTGTACTCACGTGTCCTTGAGAATAGGGCTCTGCCATGCCTCGATATTTTCTTCCCACTCCTTGTAGTGAGAGAGCGCGTAAAGGCTCAGCTTGGGGGCAGCCTGTCCATCGGTGCCAAACCAACGTGTGTACCGCCTGTGCACACCGAGGCACGCACACAGGAGTGTGAAGTGAAGGCAGGCGGTGTTAAATAAATCATTTACACGTTCATCCCTTCTGTAAATCCACTGCTGAATGTAGTCTTCCCCATTCTACGGACGCTATTTGACCATGTTTCAACAAGCTGGTCCGTGTGGGTTGAAGGTGGGAAGCATAGAGGTTTGAGCACAGAAATACAGTATTTCAATGGATTTTGTTGCAATGTCCTCTGCTGTCTAAAACATAGCCCTGCAGCCTCTAACACCTGTTGTGCATGGTGATCACCTATCCCAGCACTGTCCAGGCTTAACCACGATTGGTTTCAGAGGTCTGATGAAAGTGGGCCTTATTCTGGGTGATTTGATCAGGGAAAAATATACAGATGTAATTTATTTATTGCACTGAGACTCGAGACTGCATTCATTGATATGCTTGGGCAATTCCTTTTATGGGAGCCAAAGCAGCCAGAGAAAACCCATGAAAGTTGATGCATACAACAGAATACAACTCAATCGCTCTGAACAGCTTGCAGCCATTTGCTGGATTGCCATCCCCTGGCCACAGAGGCATGATTTTTTACTACAGTCCAGAGAAACGAAGACGTTAGTACAGTTTGAGGACAGACCATGACTGTCGTGTCACGTAGGCACATAGCAAGTTATGCATCCCTCGGGAGTTAGGAAATAGTTGGTTGGGTCAACTGCCTGTCATGATCCACACCCTTCTGACATTCTTTGAGGCAACATTACGGTGACATTCCTTTAGACAAGATTCTTATGGACACATGAAAAGGTGCTACCCCAGGTTAATGCATTTCTCTGAAGCGTGTCAACAGTGCAATATAGTTTGACCCCTCTGGATTAAAGCTTTCAACATGCTCAAAGAATGAGAGCGTCCCAATGAAACAAACAAACATCGCTGACGTACTGTACCTGCAGTACTCGCGCTCCTTTGATTTGAAACGCATCTTCGGCATGTCCCAAGCGAGGCAGAATTCCGCTTGTGCGCTCCCGCGAGCCATCACGGAGACGGTTGATGCCACTGCGGCGGCAACCTCCTGCCGGCTTCTTGTGGGCTTGCTGGGGCCTGCACGTTGCATGGTGCAGAAGCAGGGACCGGGCACAAGCGGATACAATTTTGAGACAAAATGCAAAGACATACTTGACCTGCTGACAACCAGCATTCCAATGCGAGCTTAAGCAACTCGAGATATATCACATTCCATTGTGACAGTGGCCAGTGGATAACATCAACTATGTTAAAGTTGCCTGCTTTTTGTTTAGAGGGGAACATTTTTAAAGCCTTACCATTCATTGCAGGCAGCTCTCGTATGCAAAAAAAAAATACTTGGGAGACAAACCACAGGCTTACAAATATAGAGTTTAGAAATTTACATTTACCGCAATGAAAACTTTTTTTAACACACCAAACTTCTGCATTTATACGTATTATTCATGTTAGTATTAAAAGTGATGCAGGGCTATCAATGTTTTGAGATAATTCTGCAAATGTAAAAACCTTTGAAAAGTACTTTTAAAAGTGATACCATTTTATGTGTGAGCTTGGCTTTGCAGCCTGAAATCCTCATTATTTTCATTTCCCCTTTTCACCATGAAAATATCTATTTTCAATAGGAACTGGAAAAACTGTTCAAACATGTTAAACGTCATGCATCGTGTTTTCTGAGTATGACGAAGTTAGTCAGCGATGCAAAACATTGCAATTTTCTTTATTTCCCTTCTCATGCAGTCAAAGATTTTTATCAAGAACTACTACCAATTATCCTCAACATCATCTTGAAAATGTTTGCATCGGTGCAACTTAACAATGTAATGAAAGTGAAAAGGAGGGCTTGCGTGGCTATAAACTGGTGCAGTGCGGTACCCTGCGGCGAGTTGAGACGACCGTCCTGCATGAGGTCTGTCCACACCTCCGCCCCCAATCCCTTGGGGTCAAACTCTGTCAAGTGACTCACAGTTACACCTGCCTGTGGGGAGGGAGGAGCAAGAGCTCATCATTAAATTTCCAAATGCAAGTTTGTGCTATGACAACTGGGAGAACAATGCAATTATGGTTTCATCACATCTCTAGTTAATTGTAAACAAAAGAATAACATACATGGTGTGCACGCAATTCATACCATTTACTGAGCAATGCAAATATGAAGGGTTGGCAAACAGGCAACTTTTTAAATCTTAAAATGGCAAGACGTTTGTTTGCAGACATTTTGTCCTATGCGTATGCTTACTCAACGAAAACGCAAAGTCTTTTCAACCGATCACAAAGCAAACATTTGACATCAACACACAATATTCGCAGAAAGCAGTGTGGCGGCAACTTTCCTGGCGCTACGGAGAGTTACACTGTTCGAGCCAACTCTACAACTACAAACCATGGTGAACAGAATACACAAACTAACAAAGACAAAGTTACAATTGTAACATATACAATCATTATTCAAGAAACAAGGTTGATAACAACGAAGTAATTGGTACAAGTAAGCAATGCACTTTTGAATTTCTAAAAAGTTGCATGGCCATGACTGTGAGAGGCTAAGAATACAAACATTGCCAAAGGCACAGAAAACATGTTTGTTCTAACATGATAAAATCCCTGCTCCCTAAAGTTCAAGCCCAAGTGGTTCCTTAATCTCATGCATGTGGTCAACCCAGCCAATGTGTACGGTTACCAAAGCCAATCCACCCACGTAACAGAAGCGTGAACCACCAGATCCTTGCAAGAAGACTAACCCAAAAATCAGAACCCTAATGTCACAATACTTACCTAACCTGCGTGGGACAGACTTTCCAACACAAGCCTGGATTTTTGTTAATGATTAAAAAGTATATCAGTGACTCTATATAGAGTGTTGAACTATGGATATCAGCGATGCTGTATTCATGGTACAGAACTCACACTGCTGTCATGGCTCGACACATCTCAAGGCATCCATAGATCTTTAGTCGGAATGGATCGATCTAAACACATTTTCATTTCCAATCGATAGCTGCCAGAGCAAACACACTTGCATCCTCAGTTGAACACGTAGGCTTTAACGACCAGTATGGGTTAGATCGTGTTATTATAAATGTGTCGCAACCCTCCACCACCCGACATGGCCAATCAATAAAAAAGTGTGTTTTAAGAGTGAATCGACTCTTCTAATTGGCGTTTTGTTAACATGACACATTTTTTACTGATTGGCCGTGTGGGTGGTGGAGGATTGCGACACATTTATAATAATGCGATCTAACCCAAAAACCTTTATTATGAACACTTACATCCTCACAACTAGTATTTTTTATGCTGATTTGTGTCTCAAAGTGCAACCCTTTTATCAATTTGGCCAGTTTTCAATTGGATAAATCCCAATTAACAAAACACCTTACATAAAAGGTTAGTTCAAATTGGATCATCCTTACGAGAGTTATAACCCACCCCCTAATGTTACGGATAGACGGACAATTAGAGCTAATGCATAAAGACTTCAAACACTAGGCAGAAAACAACAAAAAAAACGCACCAACATACTGAAAACACGCAATCTCTCCTCGGGAATTTGCTGAAGCTCCTAGAATGGCGATAACAGCATTGTTGCACTAGCTTAAAAACCAAACATTGCTCCATAGTGTTGTACGTATGAACTTCTTGTGCACCGTATGTAGCCAACCACGCTAATCGGAGGTGCGAGGGAAGGACAACAAACTAAACACAAAAAGCAGTTCAAAATAAATTAGTTTTCAACCTAGATTTAACAGTGCATGGCTCCAGTGGCTTCCTAATATAGAAAGAGTGTTCCAGACAGCCGCAGAAGGCCATCTGAAAGTGTGCATTGCAGTGACCGTCTTTGTTTGATGGCTAGACAAAAGCTGCTGTGGGAATGACCGAGTTCCCATGATGATTTATGCTCCTTGACGAGATCAGCAAGGTATTATGGTTAAATTGTGGCAAGCACTTTGTGTGTAAATGAGTGCGACCTTATAATGTATTCGTTCGGCAACCGGAATCCAATGCACGGCTAACCTGGTGCTGGGCAGCGATGGCCATGGTGTAGGGATTGGTCGGGTGGCTGTGGTGGAGTAGGACGCCGGAAACGGCACCGTCGCTTGCGCCTTCACCCGCCGTGTGGAAGGGCTCATTCCAGTGGCCCTCCTTGCCATCATGCTTGCGGCCTGCACTGTTACTCATAGTGAACATGATGGCCACTTCCACGTCCTCTTCGCCGTGGTTCTCTATGTCCCACACGAACACGCCTGTGGGCAGGCTTGAGTCCTAGCAGCCGTTCAAAGACACGTGTTCGTGAACAAACATTCCCACTCTCGCAACGCGTAACTGGGCACAGTCATGGAATATCGGTTGCTATTTTTTTTATACGTTTAATTTTGAACAATATCTTTTAGAAACATTTTGGACGTCCTCAATGATCTCCAAAATATTTTTTTAAACTTACATATTTGTGCTTTCTGCAAAAAACACGACACTTCTCGGTGTTGTTTAAAGCTTGTGCTTTTATGGCCTGCACTATTTCTCTGTTATAACGAGCAGCCCACACGTCCTTTGGAGGTGACCACCGTCTGTCCCTCCCTTTCACTAAATTTTTGTCTAATCTAGTAGGATGAGTCATTCTCGTGATTTACAGGTTCGATTTTTGTTGGCATTAGCCTTCTAAGAATGTATATCTTTATTATAGAAAATGACAGCACCTAGGGTGTGCGAACCACTGACTCAATTGTGGGCTCAATATATTTTTTGCCTCCATAACAGACATGGAATGGTGGCTGTGTGCAAGCGACCAACCTTGTAGTCATTGGGGATGACAGGTGATATCTGCCGGCAGGTCAGCGTGATGCCCTGACCCGGGAGCTCATAGACAGTCCAGGCACGAGGGTAGAGCGCGTGGTAGTAAGCGAAGCGTCCGCAAAAGCCCCAGTTCCAATTCTGTAGCGAGTGAGGCTGATCTGGGGATAGCACCTGCTGGTACGTGGTCTGCCCGTTCCGCCGAACGCACACCGTAAACTGCACACACACGCATCCACATAATAACGATATTTACAATTACCTACTTGCTCTGAAAGGGGAATACAAAATCAGTTTTTATTGTTTGCCAAATTGTTTTTCTTTTTTATGCCGATTATATTTCAGATGTGCTATCGGCATCATGAGAGCCACTGATGAAGGCCATTCAATTGCTTCTTATCCACAGGTGATCAACCCTCTCACAAGCTTCTCCAGAGCTGAAAAATGCCAATGAGGTGAAAACGTTAATTGAATGTCGCCTTTTTTTTATGCAGTCATTTGTGATCAGGCGATAATCACACTATGTAACACGATTTTTGTCCCTGGGTATTGTTATTTTGTAATTGATTATGCCTAAAAAGTATATAAAATGGCTATTATTCCCCACAAACTTTGCTTTTGTGACCAGGACTTTATGTGATGGAATGACACAAATGCACACCACGTTATCTCATTGAAAATTGGTAAATTTCTAAATATCACTGTCCTGGTCACAAATGCAAAGTTTGTGGGGAAAATAACAATTTTCTGTACTTTTGAGGCATAAGCAATTAGGAAATAACATTTACTACCCAGGAACAAAAAACAATGTTACAGTGTTATTGATGGAGTGGATTATTAACTTTGCTTTTTTGTCCTGGTCACAAAAGCAAAGTTTGTGGGGGAAATAACCATTTTCTGTACTTTTTAGGCATAAGCAATGAGGAAATAAAACTTACTACCCAGGGGCAAAAAAAAAATGTTGTTTCACTCTGTCATCAACTCACTACAATTGAGAATGTAGTTTAACCAGAAGTGGCTGAAACCCAGATTCGAACCCACCAGCATTAGCATCCTGGGCCACTTTAGTCTCCTCTCCATTTGCCAACACTTTGCATTTCTATTACTCTAGTGGCAGAGTACAAGGTCCTCCTGTTCAATGGCTCGTAAAGCTTTGAGTGCCGCCTGAAATGTGTGAAGAAACAAGCGCTCGTGTACGCGAGCGAGCGTGAATGCAAGAGCACCTGGTCCGCAGAGATGGTCTCGTAGGCGTAGAGGCCGGGCTGCAGATTCCAGCGACAAAATCCCCCCTTCCATCCCCTTGTGATGCAGCCACCTCCAATACCACCCAGTGGAACGCCTAGAGGCACATCAATGACCGCGCGTCACTGCTACTGATAACTGATAACGAGCATTCAGTATGCTCATTAAATCATGTACAAATCTTTTCACAGCAATGGCTTTACATAAAACATATATATTTACACTTTTCTGCTGCAATATTCTTTTCAAGGAGAATAAAGATTTGCTAAACCTCTTTTGCCAGTTTTTTTCTTTTATTAAAGTATTCCGACTTAGAGTTGGCAAAACAAATATATGTACTGTTGAAGCCAATGCATTGGTCAAAAAAGTTATCGATTCAAAGAGTTAATTGTAAATTTAAAGTATTGTTATATTTAATATTAAGAAACACATTTAATAGTTTCACAACCTTCAAATATAATATAAGAAAGACACGTTCTATGAACCGGTTTTAGTCACAATTCAGGGGATATTTTCTTAAACCAGCAAAAAAAACATCTTTAAAGAAAACATAATTCTGAACCTTACTCTTTAGGGTGTAACTTCCTGACCAAAAGCAGCAGTTAAACCAACAGGCTGTACATTGCACAACTTATCTTTGTGATTGGAGAAACAGACTCAAGGGTGTGAATAAAATATTTCCACTCTAATGATTCAGGATTACTTCACAAGTTGGCATTGAAGTGAAACTTAGGCAGTCCTTTGACAACATAGGAATGTTATGAGAATTAGTTCCAAGAATTATAAAAAAAATATCTTGGACTTTGACCACCAGGCTTACTCCCACTATAAGACTTCTAAATGCTGTTTTAAAACAAGCCCAGCATTTATTCAGAATGAAATTGGTTGGCTTGCAAAGGTCCATTTGTTATCCTGTAATGATCACAAAGAATTCTAAAGCAACTGGACACAAAAAGAAAACCAACACATTTTAGTGCTGCAACAATAAAGTAGACAGCCACAAGTCTGTCCGAGGTACAAGATTGTAAATCCTTTTCTTTATTGCTTTACAATACGAATGTGGGAGACCAGAGGCCTCCAACCTCAAGACCAAACCGTCTTAGTTGCCATAGCGGCTCATTAAAAAAACATGTGGGTGTCATTGCGTACGTACCATAAATCTGTCGTAATGGCTGGGAGTCGAAAAGATCGATGAACGGAGCCTTTTTTTCTACCCTCTTTTTCTTCTGGTAAAACCACAAGTACCTACGTAAAACAAATAACAATTAGCTTCATTGTCGCTAACACAAGTAACAAAATAAATAAGCAGACAATAAATCTCCTTCATAGATGTCCCACCACATAAAACATATAAACAAAAATTAAGTGTTAACTATTGTTTAATGTGGCGAACTATATATATATATAATAAATATACAGTCGCGTGTTCTTATTGTCACGTAAAAACAGATTCTTAAATCTGTTCTTCACCTGAGGACGGCTGCTTGCGTTGTGGCCGAAACGTCGTGAGAATTATTTTATTATGTTTTACTTTTATTATTTTATTATTTCCCTTCTACGTGACTTTACCGAAAGAACCAAGAAGATGAATCCCTGCAGTCACGAAAGCTTTAAATCGAGATTCTTAAATGTAAAGTGGTTTTCCGCGTTTGAGTTTTGAATTACACCCAAAACATTAACCATTCACGATGAAGCTGAATAATGCACCCAGTGAATATAAAACCTGTGAGGCAAGAGGCGACGGAAGAAAGTAAAGCGCTCACCTCAACCCCATCCCAAAGAAGCCGATGACCTGCTTGGGCGATATGTTCTGCAGGTGGAAGGGTTTCCTCTTCTCGGTGAACTCGTGCTTCAGGCAAATCCTCCAGCCATCCTCAGGCACGCCACGGCCCCGCGTGGCCCCACCGTACTCGCGCATCATGGGAGCCTCCTCCTTGTCGGGACCCACAGCAGCCGCAACCGATGCCGAAGCCATTCCTCTTCCCACGTCTTGCCGGCCGCCGCGAGCTGTCGCCACGAACCCTCGTGCGAGTTACTGAGCAAGCAAAAAAAAGCAGAGCAGCGCGGTGAAAATAATTATGTCACGCGACTAAATAGGGAAGGTAATAAAGAGAAGATTACTTAAAAAATAAATAACTCTGTAACCAATCAGCAGCAACGCGGTGGGCTGGCCTTCAATTTTTTCCGTGCCAGTTATTATGTCACTTTTACCGAATGTAGTAAAACTGGTTTACCACTGGTAGGGTCTCAAACATTAGAATTTTGACAAAGGAAATAGAGGTTCTGTAGAGTAAAGTTTGTTTTTACTTAAATTATATTCAAGGTCTTTTTTGTTGTATATAATCCACCCAATGTTTACCCTCCGGTAATGGAAAATGCCTGGCTGCTAGCTCATGGTAAATAATTTACTCGGCTGTAGCAAACTGCAAGGCTGTTAAATTTAATGGAACACCGAGGAGAAACAAAAAAGCATTTGTACCTACAAGCATGTGTCATTGGCAATAAAACTTATCAATTTCTGTAATCCAGATAAAGGAGCAGGGAAAGTACAAGTTTAGAATTCCACAAACAAGTGACAAACGTGGGCAAAAAAATCATAATCCAAAATCAACATCGCACTCACAAAAAATGGCAAGCTGACAAAAGTCACAGTCAAATGGCATTACAAGAAGAACAAAATCAATGTGAAAATAGGAAACAATCTGAAAGGGAAGCTCAAGAGAAGAGAGACAGGCGCTACTTTATATGCAGCAAGTATCCCAACAATAGCGGCGATGATGCCCTACATTTTGGAGGGATTTGTTCTGGAGTGGAAACAAAACTGCCGATGGAAAACGAACTGTCCACGTCCATTCAAAACTGTCCATGTTAACCTTCTTCAAATTCCCCAGTGTTTAAAACATCGCAATGCAAAGTGCAGTCTTCGGCTTGCAGTCAGCCTATTTATGCTCTCCGTGTGCTTTTAATAAAGAGTGCCACCAAATATATTAGCCCAGTGCATGTTTCCTATTATAAGTGTATGTATAACGCTGTGGTGGTAATGATGGTGAAGGATTTTTTGTGACTTCGCATCCCTATTGTAGGAAGTTAACCAAAGAGTAATTCCTGCAGTCACTAAAGCTTAAAATCAAGATTGAAGTTAACACACTTTATAATGTAAATGAGCCCACTATATTTATTATTGTGGGACAATATGTATTAGGAGAGTTACATTCTTGTCAAACCATCCCATCTCATCAGATCCCGGGAGCTAAACAGAGCTAAGCATGAATAGTGCTTGGATGTGGGGGTATGTGATGCGCTGCAGACGGCAGTGCAAAGAAATCAATTGTTGTATTGTACTCCAATGCCCTTCCATTTGTGCTCCCCATCTTCACCGACCCACATTGACCAGTGTGGTGAAGTATAATCAAATACCACTTTTACTCGCATTACATGAAGAGGTCCCAATACAGCCTGCGGGACAGACAAAATGACTCTTCTTTTGTCCCATTTGGTGATCATAATTTTCATTGACAAAATTACTGACACTGAAAGAGCATCAAATGCACACACCATTCAGCTGTATCGATGTGCACTCCTCTCTGACAAATGTTTTTGCTGAAGGATCTGAAAAAGGTTATTTGTCTAACTGTCCAACATGCTCACTAAACACCTGCCTTGGTGTGAACGGTGTGAAATGTTTCTCAAATGCAAAAAAGATTACTATCTGAATATGAGACATGGCTCAAAATAATAAATATAACGGTTTCAGAATATAAACACAAAGTGCAGAGTGCCTACTTTCAAATCAATGTTTACAAAATATGTCTTTCAGCCTGAGTGACTTGGGGCTGCGTAGAAGGAGATGAGGGGTAAGATGCAAATTATGAATGTGAAACCAGTGAGAAGGGGGGTAGGGTTTCCTGCACGGGTGGATTCTATGTAATGGAATGATCACTTAAGAAAATGAACCAAAGCAAGCACAAAGATCACGCCTCAAAAGCCCTGCTTTTTACGGCGAGCGACTCAAATTACACACCAAGTAACCTGGCCCGATTTCACTGAGGCTCGAGGTTTCAGATTGCTGTAGACTGTGCAAGCGTGTCACAAGCAACAAACCAACTAAAATCAATTCCTGCCCCAATTATATTAAAACAAAGATGCCCTCCCCCTTATTGCCTGAATAACTTAAACCAAATGCTGTCAACGCCCACTGATTAAGTCTGACTCATACACGGAGTGGAGCCAGGTAACCTTATGCTATGTTGGACCACACTAGGTACTGAAGCCGAGTTGGCACAGTTACAAGGCACAGGCCCAAAACCCCAAAATGCCGAGCGACCAGCAAACAAAACAGCTTAATTGAAGGTGAAGTAGAAATTAGTTAATGCGTTTCTTGAAATGAGCAACGATTCAAAGGTGAGTGTTTTGACCCGCAGTATGCTAGTTCAATAGAGTATGGATGAAATAAAAGTCAAGTCTGGAAGACCAGGTGCTCAGCATCGTAGAGAAGAAATCAATGAGTGAAATTCACAGGAACAGTAACCTTGGTAGTATTTGCACGATAAAAACAATAAAGAGGCGACTGACCACCGATCGGCAAGAGTAAATCAGTGAGTGCTAGAAATAAAAGCAGTGATGTGAATTGTCAAGAGTTCAAACCCTGGTCGCTCGCAAAATGAAACACTATACCACCACACCCAATCCCATGTATATATTGATTACAGTGTTCGATTAAAACACGCACATACACAGAATGAGGAAATTGAAATGAGCTAGTGGCAGCTGACATTCAGATGGAAGATTAGAGAGCTACACCCAGGCTCAGCCTTGGCATGAAAATTGAGAAGAGTCATGCACATGGGGATGTTGCCAAAACGTTGTTGTGAAAATAGTGCAACCTGAAAAAAACATGATCTGTGTTGTTTCCACATAGTCAAACACAATAATGTATTTGACTTCTTCAGTGCACTTTTATTGAAGAAACACGTTACTAATATTGTATTAGTCTCGCTGAAGATACTTTGCTCACAAATAATTGCAGCATTAATGATATTCCATCTTAACTATCCTTAATCCTAACCACAACCTCTCACCTAAGCCATTGACGCTGACACTAGCTTAGCACTATTGATAGCTCGGACCTCATACCAACCCTGACCCCAAGCCTTAACCATAAAAAGATCACGACTCTTGCCCTGAAAAGAACCCCGTGAACACAAATATGACTCGCTTCTGATATAAACCGTAGAACATTATTGAACTCAATCTTGATTTGAAGCTTTCGTGACTGCAGGAATCCATACTCTTTCGTTCTTTCGGTAAAGTCACGCAGGTAGAAAAATTAATAGATCACGACGTTTCGATCGCAACAATCGTCATCAGGTGAAACAACCACAGCAAGAAAACAGCTGAAACTGCTTCAGCAAAATGACGATTGCTTGAGTTGCGATCGAAACGTCGTGATCTATAATTTTTTCTACCTGCATGACTTTACCGAAAGAACCAAAGAGTATAATTGAACTCATGTCGCCTGGTTCATCGTGTAGAAAGTACCGTACTGTTCCATAACTCCACCCTTAGCACTCTTGAAATAACCCTGCTCTAACCATAGCCCTAGCCCTGGAATTACACCATCCATAACCCTGACAGCATAATCCATAAGCCCAACACTCCGTAATCCTAACCATAGCAATGGTTCAAACATTAACCCTGACGAACAAAACCGGGTTCTATTAGTCCACATTTGTAAAGCTCCACTCGCCTCAAAAGTACTCTCTGATATAGCAACCATGGCCTCCTATCGAATCCCCAAGTCAACCTTTGCTCAGTGGGTGGTCGCCCTTGCTCCTCTGCTGCTCCCGTTGTCTGGAACTGCCTTCTCCCACAGCCGCTGTTCAGATCCAGGTTCAAGACCCCCCCCCCCCCCCTCTGCCGACGAGTGCCCGCCTCTCAACAAAATAAACATGCTCATTGTTTATAGTACAGTATCTTCAAAATAAGCTCCAAATTCGACGCTGTATAAATAAAAATGTTATTGCATTTAATTTTAGCATCTTCTCCCAAGACACGCCACACATTTGCCAGACACCCACCACCCCCTCCCCGGCAGCCACGGGCTTCGTCTGTCGCCGCAATTTAGCAAATTAAACATAAGGGAAACAAAACAGGTTGGTACCACATCTCCGCCTCTTTTAAAACTCCGCTTCACATCCACGACCCCCCCCCCCCCCCCCTTTGCAGAACCTCTCAAGTCTCACTCGTTCGGCTGTGAGCCTCACGCTCACAGCAGCAGCAGCCAAGATCCTCAGGCATTTTCACACAGCGTGAGAAGAGAACGTGAGAAGGGGACCAGGCTCGCTGTTGCATCTTCGTGCACATTTAACACGAATCTCGCCTAGCACCCCCAGGGTGGTGGGGGTAGAGAGAGAGGGGGGGGCTCTCACTCACTACCACCGAGCCAGCAACACTCCAGACGGACGACTCACGGGCTCGTGTCACCTGCCCCAAGAAACGCGAGTTGAATCGAGGCGCATTCAGACGTACACATTTGTTTTAATAATTAATTATTGATAATTGTCCAGGACACGCTGAGGTGGCGGAGTGGACGAGTTAGGGGCCATCCATTGAGTAGGAACGCAAAAATCTGTCAAAACCTGACCCCTGCCCCCCTCCCTGTAGGCACGCGGACTTCATACCCCCCCCCTCCACCTGAGTACGTTCGCCTGAAGCAACCCCCCCCCCGCGAATCCTATAGAACGGCCCATATTTAATCCACGCAGAAACGATCATGGATTAATAATATTAACGTGTTTAAGCAAACAGATAGTCCACCGCCGGACTATCTAACTCATTTGAAGGCCAACAATGTCGACACATTACCGAGGCTTCACCCCCCCCCCAATACGCAAAGCGGACGCGTCTGGGTTACCCCCCCTCGCCCCCCCCCCCTCCATGCCCCCCCCCCCCTCCATGCCGGCCCCCCTCCATGCCCCCCCCCCCCATGCCCCCCTCCCCCTCCATGCCCCCCCGCCCCCTCCATGACCGCGCCCCCTCCCCCCCTCCATGCCCCCCGCCCCCTCCCCCTCCAGCCCCCCCCCCTCCATGCCCCCCGCCCCTCCCCCCCATGCCCGCACCCCCCCCCTCCATGCCCCCCCCCCCAGCCCCCCGCCCCCTCCCCTCCATGCCCCCCGCCCCTCCCCCCATGCCCCCCGCCACCTCATGCCCCCCCGCCCCTCCCCCCTCCATGCCCCCCCCCCCTCCCCCTCATGCCCCCCCACCCCAGCCCCCGCCCCCTCCCCCCCATGCCCCCCCCCCCCCCCCCTGCCCCCCCAGCCCCCACGCCCCCCAGCCCCCTCCCCCTCCATGCCCCCCCCCCCCCTCCATGCCCCCCTCCCCGCCCCACCCTCCCCCGCGCTCGCGCTGAGCGGATGGCCCCTCAGACGCTTGTAGAGACGTGGCCACGTCCGTCAACTCCGAACCGCGAACGACTTTGCGTCAACAACAAACAATAATAACAATATTAATAATAACAACAATATTAATAATAACAATAACAAACAACAATAATAGTAACAACGCAAGCGCCAAAAAGCAATTGGAAATTACTGAGGTGAGGTGAAAAAAGCAACAGTTTGTCGCATTAAACGAGCATAGATTACAGTTAGCTGAACCAAAACGCCGCGTTAACTTAACAGTGTTAATCGATTCCTCAAAGAAAGAGTTCGTTGAAACGAGAGGGTTGCGCCTGTCGAGAACCTGAGTTGGTTGAGAAGGAGGAGACGGCGGCATTGGGGGGTGGTGATCGAGCGGTAAGCGTTGCTAAATAATCTCCTTCCAATCGCTTCTACACGCACACGCACGGCTGTTCAATGCACCGCCAATTGCTCGCTTTCACCAGCATCAACGAGCCTCGTGTCGCTTGTCGTCCTATATTTTCTTATCGCGCGGGCGGCTGCAATGATCCCCTCTTCGTTGCATTCGTTACCGGCGAGTCGCGGCGGTTTAGATTTCCCACTACGCATGCGCGCCTTTGCCAACGAGTTTCGAGGAAGGGAGGGGGGAGGAGGCGGTCACGTGACCCGCCGCGGGCGTTGCTTATGCGTGCTAGGAAATATAGAGTGCGGTGACGTATGCATTTTTTTTTCTCCACGCGTTGGGCGATACCAACTTGCGCTAATCGATAGGGGGGGGGGGGTGGAGAGTGAAATGAATGGACCGTACCACCTCGCATTCATTGAGTTTTTCACACTTAATGGCATTATATTCCGCAAGCGAACAAGAAAAAGTGCTCAGATATTGTGCCCGCTTCTCAACCTGTGATCTGAATTGTGTGTTATCAAGTCAGCCAAGCTATGGTTCACCTTTTTGGACTGGTAAACCGTCATGTATGTCAGCGAAAAAAAATTCAGTTTTCCAAACTTAATGGCATTATATTCCACTAAGGTTCTGAGTCCGTGCCTGTTGTATTTGGCTCTGAATGGAAGTGGCATGCTATTAGCAAACAGGGTCATAATGAGAGATATCGTGGACGTGGTTTGTCAGGTGAGGACATTTTCTGGGTTGCTGCCACTCCCCCTCTGAACCTCCAATTCCTTGGTTAATGTGGTGGGGGTTTGTGGTTTATGGGTTAGGGAACGGTTAGGGAGGGTTAGGGATCTCTCTGTCTTATCTTTCTGTTACCACAATCTCTCCTCCCTCTTCCCTCTCATCTCCCCGCTCCCCATCACCTTAGGGTTAGGGTTATGGGGCCTCCAGAAATGTAAAAAGAATTAAAACAATGTAGGCCTTTTTCAAAAGAAGGAAGCTATGAGTTGCAAATGTGAATACATTTACAACAAAAATATTTGCATTTGAATGGTGGTAGTTGATAAACCTGAAAAGATGGTCTCGTGGCAGTTGCATAGACTAGTTTTAAAATTGGAATTTTACAGAGGTAAAAGTACTCTGAGCCTTTGGAAAGTGAACACTTGCTCGTCTATGACTTTCTGTCAATTACGAGTGTGGATTTCGTAAGAGCTGCTGTGAAGGCAGGTGTGTGCCCTTCGAGTGTGTGCCGTTCAATATGTTTAGGGCGTTATTTACAGTGGTGGCATTCAAGTCCAGCTCAGGCAGTTGACGTTGGCTCGAACAAAAATCATGAATACGCATGGATTCTGTAGCATGTGATTGTCCGCGAAAGTATTTAAATAGCCATTACGGAAGCCGACCGAGTAGTTGTCAGTCAAAAAACACGTTTTTACATTTGCAAGGTTTGGGCGACCCTTTTTGATCGATTTGGACAGTTTTCAACAAATAGCGTCATTCCCTCACTGTAAAACTACTTTATACCAAATTGTCGTTCATAGTGGGAAGATATTTGAGTGGTGACATGGCCTAACCGTAGCACGTTCGGCTTGTTTGCGGAGGGTCGCGCGGTTCGTATCCGGCGGCCGCCCTGATTATTACTTCACCGTGGACGTTGAAGATCCCATGACGTCATTTTCAAGGGTAAATGTTTTTTTTATTTGACCAGGTAAGACCCGTTGAGCTATATAGCTCATTTTTAGAAGCGACCTGGCCACAAGTGATAGCTCAACGAAATTGGTTATCATCTGGACATTTATAGCAGCCAAATACTCGAAACGCATGTTTATAAATGTGGAGGGAATAACTGGAGGAGCCGGACAAAAATCAATGCGACCACAGCAAGAACGTGCAAACTCCAAATATACAGGCGCCAGGGTAGAGGATCGAACCCACGACCTCCTGCATACCAGGCAAGGGAGTTAACATCTCGCCACCGCGGCACCCTATGCCATTAGGTGCCGGCGTCAGTGTCCACATTTGCAGAATCCGAAGAAAGTTCTTGACCCGAAACTTTAATTTGCGTAGAGAGTTAGAAAAATTAGACGGAGACCATGTGAGCAGCAGCAGGAAAGGAGCGAACTCCCATTGAGTGGAGGTTGTGATTGAAGTCATTGCTCCTGAAGCATCCTTCAATCACCTTAATCCAGGGTAAGGGAGACAGCAAAGCAATTCTTCTACAAAAATATAGTAAGTGCCAACAAGCGAGTGCAGGAGATCGACGTTGAAAGGTGACCTTTCTCAACGCAATCCTTGACGCTTGGAGTTTCCCAGCTATGGTTTTTCATACAAAGCACACACACACTGTGACGAGGGTTTACCAGGTAATTTAAAGAATATCTCACAATGCCAAAGAAGGGGAGAACTGCATGTAAATCAATTGTCTTGAGCAGTGTATCATTACTGATTTCTCTGGAGTGTAAGATGCTCCAGCATATAAGAAGCACCCAAAAAGTGTGCCCGGTTTCAATAAAACAACTATTTAAACGTCGTACTCAGATTGTAAATGTTGTTGCTTGGCTCTCCAACACACTGGTGTGCTATACTCGTGACGAATTGGCCACGTTATATTTACGTGACAACCCTTACTAGTTGGCTGTGTCGGGTGGTGGCGGGTTTTTTAACGACACATTTATATATTTGCACGATCTAACCCAAAAACCTCTATTATGAACTATATACAGTAGTCGCACACACACACCTACCGGATTATAAGACACACACCCAACTTGTGTTTTAAAATACATGGAAAATAAGTGTCTTTTTTAACACTTAGGCTTTCGCGACCTATATTATTCATAATAAGGTTTCAATCTTGATTTGAGGCTTTCGTGACTGCAGGAATCCATACTCTTTCTCCTACGTCAGCAGTCTTCCTGCTGTGTTTGTTTCACACCTGATGATGGTTGCTTGTGTTGCGATCGAAACGTCGTGATCTATTATTTTTTCTACCTGCGTGACTTTACCGACAGAACCAAAGAGTATAATAAGGGTTGTTTGGGTTAGATCACCGAGATATAAGTGTGTCGTTAACCCACCACCACCCGACAAAGCCAATTAGGAAGGTTTGCCATGTAAACAAAACGTGACAATTAGTTACTACTTCAGCACACCGGTGTGTTTGCGAGTAAACCCACAACATTTACAATTTGAGTATGACGTTTCACTGGGAATTACAACCAGCTTCATCAGGCTATTTTGCCAATTCTGGCAAAAACTTTATTATGAATAAGCCAAAACCCTTCATTATGAATAAGTGTGTCTTGTAATCCGTGTGTCTTATAATGCAAGTGGCAAAAAACAGGACCTTTAATGCCCCCAGGAAAACTTTACATATGTTCCAGGATGGCTACCACAAACAGGGGACAATTCTGGGAAAACCAGGACGGTTGGCAGCTATTCACAACTGATGGAACTTGTGTTTCTAAACGTGTGTCGTTGCATTGCAGTGTGATCGGGGCCTAGACATGATTGAGATGGTGGCAGAGCTGACACGAGGGCCGGTGTTTCTGGCCGGAGAGGTTCTTGAGTGCGTTGTGACCTTCACCAACCCCGAGGTGTGGCTTCCTTCTTCAGCCGGCCGGTGAGGTGACTTAAAACTCGACCTACAATGTCAACAACCATATTTCCTCTCACCAGGGCTGCAAAACGCAGTTAGCTCACCACAAGGAAACTCGTGGAATTATGGCCGGCACAGCTGCTCATTTCCTGTTACACAGTACGAGTTAACTCAGTTACATGAAAACAAATGAAATTAAACATGTGCATTAGGGTTATGGTCGGAGTTATGGGTTACGGTGTTGTTGGGGTCATGGGTAGGGCTAGTGATAGAGTATATACTGGAAAGCTCAAGGCTAGGAGTAGTATTAAGCCCAATGGTTAGTTTTAAGTCCTCACACCACACATTGTACTGTATTTACTTAAAAATTTAACTTTTTCCGTTTTCGAGTCATATGTTAATTATTTTGCCATTTTACGCACACGTCCGTTGAGTGCATCACATGGACACGTGGGTTGAATTTCGAAACCGCTGGTTAAGTGCAGCATGACTTGTTTCTCCTTTGACAGCATCCCTTTGTTTTTAGAGATTTCAGCACAACTATAAGCCCAGTGGTGGCTTCATTTTAAATGGAGCTTTTTGATCGGTAACACAAAAACCGTTTGCCTGCCTGTAAATGTAGAGATTTGTTCCCAGCGCGATACGTAATTACCATTGATAAAGATCAAGGGGGGTTTGTGAACGGCTCAAAGTGGCAACAGGGAACCGAATGTTTTCTGATACTCGGCCCCCACGGGTATGGTGAGGCGAGTTGTTTTTAAATTACGTTGCCAGCCATCGTTGTATTTTATTATCTCAGTCGCACTTGCGGCATGTTGCAATAAAAAAACACATTGAGCCAACGTCAACTCCCTGAGCTGGACTTGAATGCCACCACTGTAAATAACGCCCTAAACATATTGAACGGCACACACTCGAAAGGCACACACCTGCCTTCACAGCAGCTCTTACGAAATCCACACTCGTATTGACAGAGAGTCATAGACGAGCGAAGTGTTCATTTTCAAAAGGCTCAGAGTACTTTTTCCTCTGTAAAATTCCAATTTTAAAACTAGTCTATGCAACTGCCACGGGACCAGCTTTTCAGGTTTATCAACAACCACCATTCAAATGTAAAAATGTTTTGTTGTAAATGTATTCACATTTGCAACTCGTAGCTTCCTTCTTTCGCAAAAGGCCTTCCTTGTTTTAAGTCTTTTAACATTTCTGGAGGCCCCATAACCCTAAGGAATTGGAAGTTCAGAGGGGGAGTGGCAGCAACCCATAAAATGTCCTCACCTGACAAACCACGTCCACGATATCTCTAATTTTGACCCTGTTTGCTAGTAGCATGCCACTTCCATTCAGAGCCCGATACAACAGGCACGGACTCAGAACCATAGTGGAATATAATGCCATTAAGTGTGGAAAACTGCATTTTTTTTGCTGACATACATGACGGTTTACCAGTCCAAAAAGATGAACCATAGCTTGGCTGACTTGATAACACACAATTCAGATCACAGGTTGAGAAGCGGGCGGAATATCTGAGCACTTTTTCTTGTTCGCTTGCACTTATATTTTCCGAAGATTACAACAGAATGCGGTAAATGTGCTGTTTCTCTAACATGGAGGTGAAAATGAAAAGACACCTTTGGGATTTGCAAGCACGACTTTGAAAGAACCAAAGCCCAGCCGTGCGTGTAGACACGTTTTATTAGCCTCCGCCTCCAGTCTACCACCGACCCAGTGGGAAATGAAATCCTAGCGAGAGGCATAAAATCTGCTTCGGCTCTCAAAGGTCGGGGCACTGACTGGTGTTCGTTTTTTGCCAACAGTGAGAGCGGCAGTGAGACTCTGGCATGGGCGAGCGTGCAGCTCCACTGTCAGATGCTCGTCAGCGAGGTCCACGTGGCCCTTCCTCCGTCGAGTCCTCGAATCCCCGGTTCCCAGGCCATGAGCGAAACTGCCTTCGTGCCCAACCGAGGTGCTCATGCAACACGCACGGCCACCACTCCCGCCCCACCCAGGGCGTGTCTGTTGTCGTATGCACACTAGGGCTGAACGATTAATCGATTTCAAGTCGAAATCGCAATTTGAAACAATGCGATTAGCAATTTTTTTTTGCGATTTGAAAAGTCCTATTACCTTCTTATTGGAATTGTTGTATTATTATAATTTTATTATTTAACATAACAATTGTTCTCTGTTTGATTGTTCTATTTCAATTAAAACATTTAAATGAATACATGTTGGAAGCAAGTGTATTTTAAGTTCTCATCCTTGCATTAGAATATATAGAGCAGTTAATATTTTGATGGTTTCATGTCGTAATGCTCCATCTCATGTTTTAAATCTATTACACAGTGAATATTGAACTGAAGCTTGACTTAAAAAATGTAATCGCAAATCAAATCGCAATCACAATATCTGTCAGAATAATCGCAATTAGATATTTCCCCCAAATCGTTCAGCCCTAATACACACACAGGTTGCAGCCCTTCCTGCAGAATCAGAATCATGGGTGGGCTTTGTGAACAGACTGTCGACTATAAATTTATAATAGGCAGAGGGCTTTTGCTTATGACCAGGTGAAGAAGCATGGTGCCGCACATTGTAATGATCTGTGAAAATGACCACCGTTGTGATAGCCCTGCACTATAGAAATGGATTGGAGTAGTGGCCGAGTGCTTAACGCACTGCTCTATGAACCCAGTGACCCGAGTTAAATTCCCTACCATGGCTAACATCAGTTTTGTGTGATATCTTAAGCGGTCCTGGGAACCTCTTACACCGTCCCAGCATGACCAGCACTGGTGAAGTATGGGCTGTGAATTATTTCTGTCATCATACAATCTTCATGAAATAGCATTAGTAAGTGATGTATTATATAGTACATGTATAGAACTTTGTCAGTTCACTGCTGAAAGAGGGCTTCCCCACACAATTTCGTGGTTGATTGACCATACTTCACCGCACTGTTCATTGCAGGTTGGTGAAGTGGTGGTCTACTCCCTTTCTTCTATTGCATATGTTTCGAATGTTACATTATTGACTGCATGTTTTAAGTGACTACACTGACTGCATGTTCAGTGCGCCGTGGTGGCGAGGTATTAACTGCCTCGCCAGTTATGGAGGAGGTCGTGGGTTGAATGCCGACCCTGACGGTTGTATAATTGGAGTTTGCGCGTTCTCTCTGTGGTCGTGTGGATTTTAATTCACATTTAGAAACATGCGTTTAACGGATTTGGCTTCTATAAAATGTAATGTCCACATGATAAACCACTTCGCTGAGCTATCATGTGTGCCCAGGTCACTTCTGTAAAAAAAATATATATAGCTCATTGGGCCTTACCTGGTAAAATAAAATAAAAATGTTCAGCGCATGGTTCGTTGCACTCTGTACAAATTTACCGACCGACTGTTTTCAGCGCTCTACTCGTCTGCACGAAATGTACTTGCACATTAGGGTTACAACACGTAGCAGGAAAATTGACAACAACATCCCACGAAACATTGTACTGATTGCTTGCTGTGTGTTGCACAATTACAAAACGTTGTCAACAGTTGCACTTTACAAGGTAACTTTCCTACAGCACTCACTGACGCGCCCTGGTGAGCCAAGCGGGATGTGCAACGAAACTATTACTACCGAACTTATGTTGTGTTTTGAAATCTCAGAATTGTTTAATAGCATACATATCACTTGTCGGTTGCCTTCCTGAATTAGCATAACTTTAGTGGTTACAATTGTTTGACGTGACCAATAAGTGAATTCTGCCATCACCATTTGAAATGAGTGAGTTATCAAGTGATCCGCTCTTATTAGGTATGTTAATAAATCATGCGACGAAAGTTTTTCAACCTTAGGTGGAAGTAATTTTTGCTCTGGCTCATACTGTAACCAACCATACATTGGGAAGCATGGTGTGCATTTTTAACGGCTGAAAAACTTGACAGTAACAACAGTTGATTTAAATCTTTCGTGAATGCAGGGATTAATATTCTTGGTTCTTTTGGTAAAGTCATGTAGAAGGGAAATAATCAAATAATAAAAATATTAAACAATAAAATTCTCACGACGTTTCGACTGCAGCACAAGCAATCATCATCAGGTGTGAAATCCAAATCAAGAAAATGTTCTTGCTGTGGATATTCACGTGACTTTACCGAAAGAGCCAAGAATATAATAGTAATAACTGTGCTTTAGCATGCAGTAATTGTGATTTAAGTGCCTACTTTATGCATTCAGTTCTCAACCCTTTGTCATTCGACTGCTGAAAGAAAACCTCCCCACACCGGGGTTGTTTGACCATACTTCACCACCCTGGTAGAGTGCAGATTGGTGGGGGGGGGGGGCCCAGGACCGGTTTAGATAATACCACCAATGTTTGCTGTAGCTGGGAATTGAACTCAGGTTTCTGGATTCATAGTGCAGTACTTTCACCACTATGTCACCACTCCATCCCACCTATTCAATGACACTTGCAGAAATTCCGTAGCTACATTTGTGTCAAGCCAGCTCATCCCGTGGGGGATTGCTTGGAGAGGCCCTCATCCAGCAGTGGATTGATTATGGCTGATGATGATGATAATGATGCTTAATGCCCATAACAAACATTTTCCACAAGCAAACTCAATCCATGTGAGATGCGAGGCCATCATCCAGCAGTGGATTGTTCCTGGCTATTGATGATAAGGATGATGATGCATTTCCATAGATGACATTTGCGACAAGCTCAGCTTGTTACTGCTGTGTTTTGCCGTTGGCAGGAGAGAGGGGGCAGTGCGTTCTCTCCACTCCTCCGAAGATCCTCTTCTGTGACCTACGCCTCGCTCCAGGGGAGAGCAAGGCTTGTGAGAGGGGTCGTCTGTGCGGGCGAATGGGGGACCCTAGAGATCTGTGTGGGGACAAAGAGGATGCAGTGTGCAAAGAACTAAATACGAGCACATGGGGCTAAAAGAGGGGAAACCAGAGCCGTAAATGAGGAGATGAGAGGCACAAACAAGGGGCATTGACTTTTCACAGTGATTTTGGGTCTCTCTTGCTTCACGGCCAGAGTTCTAACTGGAAAGCAGTGTTACCACCTCCAAATTACCCTAAAAATATGACTAGATGTCGATCGATGTACCTTCTAGAGACTGGAACAATGTCCCTTGACAATTTAGCAATTACCCAGAGTAAATTGATCCAAAATAATCTTAATACAAACCTAGAATCACTGCTAGATCTGCATAATGTCCTCATGCCAGTATTTGTCTCTAGAGAAATGCTAAATGTTGTATGTATGTTGTTCAATTTAGCGGCGCAATCGCTAAGTTTACAACTCCACTGGAATGGGGTTGAGTCATTGCTGGCGCAAGAGGGCACGCTGCTGACTGAGCAGGGCAAGGGCACTTGTTAAAACGACAGGACACTATTCTTTGGTTCTTTCGGTAAAGTCACGTATAAAGATAAATAATCAACTAAATTAAATACTAGCATACGACGTTTCGATTGCAACACAAGCAATCATCATCAGGTATAAATTAAATAGAAACACAACAGGACACTGATGTGGGTTTTGGGGGGTATTTTAATAATATGGTGATCATTTCAAAAAACAATTCTGATTATGATGGTCAGATATCAACTGTAAATCAACAGGCAAGGCAGGCAGTGTCTCAGTGCTGTTTTGGGGTATTCATGGGGAGGAACATGTCCAATTTGCAATTGTTCAGTGATATGTTTGTATGGGCTGAAACAAGCGCTATTGGTGGTGATTATAACAGTGATACGTGTGTTACTGCTGCTGCTGCTACTGCTGTTGCTGATGATAATATCCTACAAATATATCAATGAACCTGTGATAGCCTACTGCGTTATTCACAAGGTTGGTTCCCCATATTTCCCTTGCAAAGGTAATACGACTCACCACCCACTTAAATCGTGTATAATTTATTTAAAATCCAACCCTAGGAATCAACGTGTTTGTGAAATGTACCAACCTAGCCCCTCGCTGATCTCCTGCCGTGAAACATGCCAATAATACTGCACATCAATATTACCTGCTCAAACGAAAGCTGGGCGTACAATTGAATTTAATTACGACCGAAGGGTCCAATGTGATCGTGAAATGTACCACTCTGCCCTGCGCCCACTCTCCCCGTTCACTGCCCGCGCGCCGGCGCGCAGTCGTGTACAGGGAGACTCTACCCGCGGACGCGCCACCGTCGCTGAACGGTCAGGCCGTGCGCTACGCGTATCGCCTCTCCGTGGGCTGCCAGCGGCTGCAGGGCACGCACGCCACCGCACTGCTGCGCGTGCCGTTCCGCGTACTCGTGCTCCAAGGTGCTGGCATCCTCCTTCCCCCCTCGCCACCGCCCTCGCCCTTGCCTCCATCCAGATATATTCTTAGGTTTTTTCGGTAAAGTCACGTAGGTAAAAAATTAAAATTAATAAAAGTAAAATTTAAATTAAATTAAAATCACGACGTTTCGGAGGCAACACAAGCTCCCGTCAAGCTTGTGTTGCCTCTGAAACGTCGTGATTTTTATTTTATTTTTATTTTACTTTTATTAATTTTAATTTTTTACCTACGTGACTTTACCGAAAAAACCTAAGAATATGAATCTTTACAGTCACGAAAGCTTCAAATCTAGAATCCATCCAGATATATAAGCAGATGATACGGCTCCTTTATATATCTGTCTCTTTACACAGCCAGTCTTTCCCACACCTCCGATTAGTGAGGTTGTCTACGTACGGTGCGAAAGAAGTTCAACATACGTACATTCAGCCCACGACCTTCTGGACGTGAATAATTTCAGCAGCATTGATGCAGTACAAGCAAACTCTGCACTGGTGGCGGAATACACTGTCATCAGCAAAGTCAGTTTTTATTGAATAAATGCTGGTGAACTGCCAGATGTTAAAAGTTATGGGTCCTAGTTTGACACAAAATTATATAGGAATACATAACTAAAATGAATCATTGGCATTATTATGGAGCATATAAATCCTATCTAGTGTTACCTTAATTTACTCAATTGGGATTATCCATATCGTTCATCGCCCCCACATGGCATACCCATTTTTAGGTCAGATGCTGAGTCATCTTATGCCCACGAGAGACAGCTGCTATTGTGAGATGCTCTGGCTATATGGCACTATATGAAAAAGAAATCATTATTACTTTAGTCCTGTGTTAACCAGAAACTGCTTTTATGAAAACCATAAGCAAACATGCAAATGCAGTGTAAAGAAACAAATAAACAGCAAGGCCCTTTCAAAAGTTTTCTCATGATAACCCACCCCACCCCCCTAGATATGGCATGCATTCGTTGGCTTTCAACTCAGCATTTTTAAATCGTAGTCTTAGTCTAGTTGAGGACGACCCGTGGAAGTTTAGTCCCACTCTGTGGATTTCAAGTCGTCGTTCTCTTAAGTCTCGTCACAGTCGAACATTTATCCGTTCTTAGTTTTTAAACGTCGGTGTGAGAGGATGCGATTTCCACCACCCCTCCCCCAAATTTGATCAGGTCAGCCAATTCGTGAACTCGGTAAATCTTTTCATAAACATATATAGGCAATGTTTTTAACCTCCCTCAGTGCACTATCAAAGTAGATTGTAAAGTCTTCCAATTCAGCTAGAATGGGTTATGTTTAAAAATATATCGTGTTGGTTAACATGATTTTTTTCATGACGTAACTTAATTATAGGAAGGCATCCAACAAATTGTACTTAAGTAGTACTCTAGCAATTAGCAAGCCATTGATTGATTTCAAGGTTTTCTGGGTTGTTTTAAATCGGTATTGATTCATATTGAATTGCCAAACATTCCAAAGCAAGGCCCTTCTGGAAACGAGTCTCGTGTAAGGATTTCCAATGAACTTGGAAGCCCAACATGATTAGCAAATTAAGTTGATGTTGAATTAATTTTGTCCGTATCAATAATGAGACAAAGCATCTCCCTGCGATTGTGTGACGAACGGCAGGACTGCTGGACTACCGGCCCCTAGATGAAGACGATGGCACGGTGGCACCTGTTAACCCATTCTTGGACGACGGAGATGGCGATGATGATGATGACGGTGACGATGGCAAAGACAAGGAGTGGGACTCGGACAAGCAGGGTGGCAGCAAGCTCATCGATGTTGCAATGGATCTGATCGCAGAAGTCATATCTCGAAGTCGCCCATGTACGTGAGGATGCAGTTGGAATTGCTATTCCCAGCAGCACACGACAAGCAAAATATTTGTGCATCTCATGCCTGTATCTGTGTTTGTGTGAACATATGCCTTTTACTGACCATGGTGATAAAACGCTTATGGCTAAATCACCCAGAATGAGTATGATCTCATCCGAAGTTGGAAGCGAAGCAGGGTTTGAGCCTCGATAGTGCTTTGAAAGTTGACCACAATGCATAAAACTGGTGCTGCAGGCTGCTGCGGGTCTGCTTTGTTATCAGAGGACAGTGCAGCAAAATCTATGATTCTACTCAACCACGCTTTAATATCGATGATCTGCAATCTCACCAACCCGCAGTGACCAGCGGAGCAGATGTCGCAAACGGGTTTTGATTCCTTACCCGTACCCGTACCCGGCCGCACCAGGGTCGCAAATGGGTACCCGTACCCAGCCGGGTACGGGTAGCCGTTCCCTACCCGTACCCTACCCGAAATGAGTGACAAACGGCTACCCGTACCCGTACCCGGCCGCACCAGGGTCGCAAACGGCTACCCGTACCCGTAATTGAAAATCAATTTTGTAATGTGAAGAACCATAATATAAACTGATCTCATACAACTATGGCATATATGCAATACAAAACAGCTGATTGTGAGTGACTGAGGTAGTAACTGGTTGATGGGCATAAATTGTAACCATATTCCAACAGATCGGACGTGATTAACTTTCTGCTTGGCAATTTTCGGGGTCACAATGTCCGAACAAAATTACCGATTTGAAAATCGACCTCATGTTTTGGATTCAAATGCAGGTTGACCCAAAATGTCAACCGAAGCACCGCCTAACTTCTCAGAATAAGTCTACGTGTGTGCGTACATGCGTGTGTGTGTACGAGTTTGGCATTGAGGTTAACGCACTGCTACAAACCCAGCGACAAAAGTTCAATACTATAATCAGTGCCGAGTAAACTGGTCCTGCGTACCCCCCTTTCGGTCGACTCAACCACAATAAACTTCAGCACTGGGGAGACGAAGGCGGTCGGGACGTGGTGCTAGCAACACCGCTAACAGCACTGACACACCTGCCTGGGGGGGTGTTGGTGGGCACGCGTGTTGCAGGTGCGCTCAACGTGGTGAGCCCACAGGGCGGCGTGGGGCGGCTCAGCGTGGCGCGCACCGCGTACCGGCTCGGCGAGGAGGTGTCCTGCAGCATCGACTTCTCGGCGGGCGAGGTGCGCTGCCTGCACTTCTCCGTGCTGCTGCAGGCGCAGGAGAGGGTGGAGGCCTCGACATGCCAGCAGCGCCACCGCTCGCCGTCGCCCGTGACGCACGCGTCGCACCACGAGCTGTGCCTGCACACGGGGCGCACGCACGCCGCCCTCCCCGTGCCCCTGCACGCGCCGCCCAGCTTCAGCTCGCCCCTCGGTGAGCGCCCGTCGCTTCGTCCGTCCATGCGACTGTCCGTTTGTCCGTCCACCTGTCCCATCTCCCTATTTTGTCTGTCCGTCTGTCCCGTATCTCTGTTTGTCCGTGCGTCTCCCTGTTTGTACATCCGTTCGTCCATCTGCCCATCAGGCCCTCAGTGCGACCGTCCGTCTGACCGTCGATGAGACCTTCGTGTCTTTACGTGTTATTCGTTCCCCACAATCACTTATGGCAGCACAGAACACAGTTTTATGTTTGCCATTTATGTATAGATCGCAATTTAACAAGCAGACCTCAATACTCTCTTCACGTAAAACAAACGCACCTGTTATAAACGTAACACATCAGCGTTATCTTAATAATGGCACATTATGTTTAATAAGCATTACTTAAATTACATTATTTAAAAATTGCAATCATAAAAGGGTTTAGGTTTTTTTTTTATGAAACCACTGCCGGATAAAGGCCTCGCCACCCAGTGTTGGTGCTGTGGGCTGTTTGACCATACTTCACAACGTTGGTCAGTGCCGATGGGTGATATTAGCCATGTCCAGGAGTCAAATCCTGGGCCTCTGGATTCCTAGTGCAGTACTCAAACCACGAGGCCACCACTCCACCTCATTACAAGAACAATAATAGAACGGTAATGTTACAAGAAGAAGCAGTTGCCACAGTGTAACATAGTCAATTATTATTAATGTTGCTGTCACGAGTAATGTGTTTGAATGAATATATTTCCTGTCATCCATACCTCATTGCTGAACCACTCTGTCTAATAGTTCTAACCTCATACCATCCACAGTACAATTATAAACATCACCGTCATCACTAACATCATCCATCAAGCAAGGCAACACTGAAGAAATATCTGATGCATCACATTATTTCAATGAATTGAACCTAATTATTATATATTTTTTTTTTACCTTCTGCCACTTCACAAAAAAGAGTTGTGAAATAGTATGCCCAGAAACTGTCATTAATTTGTCCTGTGTGCACACACCATGTAATTATTTCCATCATTATAAGAACTCGTTTGAAAAAAGAAAGGCGACGGCTGCCGTCTGTGAATTACGTGTGTTCCACTCCAGTACGCAGAATGCGATGCACACAGTTACTGTGATTCACAACACATTAGTCTAAACACACACTCTCAAATTATGGGGGACAGAATGTAATAATTAAATTTAAAGGAAGAATCTTTCAACAACAAGAGCAAAATAATACGTCTATCTTGTGGATGTACACCAAGGACATGTCCTGGGATGTTCAACACATGTGAAGCTTTGTCACAGCATGAGTAATGTAACAGCAAGGACGCCAACCGTGTTTCATATCAATACGAGTGTGTGTTCTCTTTTTATATTTTACCATAATTTTACATTGCCGTTTACAATGCGTATTTACGTATTCTGCGTATTCCAATGCACTTCATTACATTGATTTCACTTGTATAAATCCACGTTACATTTCTTGCTGCACTTATATATATTCATATTGAATTGCCATACATTTGCTCTTGCGACGTTTGCTCTTTACGACGCTTAACTCTACGTTTAGTTTCTATCCGTGGCATGTGATGCTCTGTTTGCCATGGCTCAACACCGCTTTGCAGTGAGCGTGCGGTGGCGGCTCCACTTCCAGTTCGTGGTGGCCGTCGAGCCGGAGGTTGTGCCGCCGCTGCAGCGCGGATCCGCGCCCGGTCTGGGCTGTGTGTGGCGCGGGGCGCAAAGCGTCCGCGCCGAGACGCTCAGCTGGGACCTGCCCATCACTGTGCTGCCCTGCGACCCCCTGACAGCTCGCAGCGGCTGGCTTGTGGAGCCGTGTGGCTCCATGCTTCTGGTAAGTGTGCCTTGATCCATGCTTCTCTTTGTTTGGCCCCCAATATTATTCCAGTTTCATGCCATGAGATGAAGAGCGTTTGTGCTGAACTTCCCTCCGATGCTCTTTTGGGGTTGTACCGCACATTGTACGGCGTGATGTCCCATCCATTCAGAACTCCTGTGGAGAAGTGAATCATCCCGCTTTATATAACGGTCTGCACAAGCAGATTTTCAAATAACTTTCTTTCCGAGATCTCTAATTCTCACACTAGGTGGCGCACTTTCCCACACGCAACACGACGAGTTAATGTTTGTTGCATGACCGTCAAATTGATATTTATAATTTCCAGAGCTGAAATTGTGACAAACTAAGTGAAACCCAGATTTAACATGACGGGGAAAAAAAATGTCCATTTATTTGGTGACCAGGCTAAGACCATCAATATTCTAAACTTTAAAAGCTGGTTTCATCACAGTGAGCTAAAACCCAGATTCAAGCCCAAAATCTCAGCGGTAACGGCACAGCACGCTGACCCCTGACCCACTCGGCCACCTCGCTCCATGCTGTTGTAAAAGAAGTGTCGATCAAGGGATTATCGGTCGTGCCACTCGTCCCCGTTGTCAGCTCTGAGGATACCCATTTGGTCCCTCGGGTGCGAGGCCAGCTCGCTGGAGGCTGCTTCTTTGCATAGCCCCAGGAAAAATGTGGGACGTGATTGACACTGGGTCACAGCCTGTGGAACTCGGTGGAATTGGGAATTTAGATGTGGTCATAGGCCCTCTGTTACTGTGTCCACAGAGCCTGTGGCTGACTGACGACCTGTAGTGTAATGTGCTTGGCCAAATTAGCCAGGAGACAGTGCACAAGTGAACAGGGAGTCTGAGTAATTGTTAAATTGACAAAATTGATAGTTTGAATGTTGATTCGGGGCAATTTCACAAATTAGGCAACCTTATAGTGAACATAAAACATTTAGTAGTATAATAACAGTTACGTGGTGTCATATTTGAAAGTCATTCGCCATAGTTTTAGAAAATGTCTCATTTACGGAATACGTCTTTTTTACACGTTCTCGAAATTTGAGATGCACCATCACCACCATTCCAGAATGGATTAAAACATCTGAGCACATCTGAGACCGTGGAATTTTATGATCAGTTTTACTAGATCATGAAAAAGTGGACATGTGTTTTCTGAGTTAGGACTGTAATTAAGTTAAAACAATGTATTGCAATAGTTTGTATCAAATATTAGAGTAGAATAACACAAATGAATACTCATAGGAATGTCCATCTGTCTACATGAAAATGAAATGTTTCATAGCCAATTAGTCTCTTGGCCCTCCAGATTAGTATTATCCAGCAGCATTTGTTTAAGCAAGCAAAATTCTACGTCTCATCAGCACAAATTGCCTCGTTAAACACATACTGCTGGATTACCAGATATCATTGCTCAGAGCAGTTATACCTTTTGACTTGTTATTGTGACTGTTTTTCGAAAGTATTGTCATGAGAGTGTATTTTATTTACTATTCAAGTTAAACACACATCATTACAGACGTCGTGTTTACAATATTGTTGTTTGTATTAGTATACAATTATCACAGACATAGTGTTGTTTACATTATTATTGTTTGTATTAGTATACAATTATCACAGAAGTAGTGTTTACATTTTTATTGTTGTTTGCATTAGTATGAAACAAATCATTTACAGCCTTCATCCAGTCGTAGCCTTCATCCAGTCTACAACTGGATGAAGGTCTCTTTATACAGAGCCGGTCTTGGAGTTGTTTGACCATATTTCACCACACTGGTCAGTACAGGTTGGTGAAGGAATAGAGGGTGCCTGGTCCGGTTCAAAGATGTCACACGCCACCGACATTATCCATGGCAATGAATTGAACTTTGATGGCCAGGTTCACAGCGCAGTGCTTGAACCGCTACTCGACTGCTTTATTCAGACATCCTGCAATGGTTTTGCAATTTGACCGCACAATTATTGCCTCAACACAATCGAGCTTGTATTCGTTTTTTTATTAAACAGCACAACGTGCCTGTCTACATTGTTTGCGTTTTAAATAAGTGTGACTGCTCTGGCACTGTAACAGATGCAATGTGGTGGTAAACTGTGTCACATTTTAAAGGGCCCGCCCGTAACGCGCGACAATAATACACGCGTTGTCCCATTACTGCGGCGTAATTGACAAGATTTAATGAATCCCAAATCAACGAACAGCATAATGGTGCCAAAGGCAGTTGCACCACATGCAGCCCCACGGGTGCGCAATATCGTTTAATAGTCCCTGATGGTAGCGGACATGCGTTAAGCGGTGAATATGGTACATCCTAATGTTACCGGGGCTCTGCCAGTGGTTGGGTACGTCGGTCAGCGTAAAATACCGACGTCGGGAAATACACACAGGCTCCCTCCTGCACTGCGAGTCAATGTTTGGACACTTGTCCACTTTGCGAACATCTATTCGACACCAGGTGCAACTACAAGCTCCCCAATAAATAAGAATGGAAAAAAAATCGGACAGAAAACACCGAAACGAGTTCCCCGTTCCGTGAACCATAGAGCTCAAGTTACTCCTCCCACGCCGCGCACGTCCGTGGGCTGAGGAGCCCGAATTCTCCCAGACGATTTCGCTTATTGAGGCCCGGCCCTGAATTCCCTCCGGCAGAATGCACGCCGAGCTGCCAAACTAGCGTGTATATTAAAAACGGTCCTTTTTTTTTTTTACAATTCTCGCGGTCCATCAAATTTAGTTCCGGGAAAAATCGGTCCAATTCAAGTGCGTGTGAGTCAGCGGTCCTGGGGCCCTTTCTTTGCCAACCTGCACTGACCAGCTTGGTTGAAGCATGGTCAAACACCCATAATCGACACGTTGTTGGGAGCCTTTGACGCACCATTCAAAACCAACTAAAGGCCATGGGACTGTCTTGGTGTGAAGCAGAGAAAGCTGCTAAAGACCGCCCGGCATGGCGTGGGCTTGTTGCGGCCTTATGTTCCACAGGGAGCGAAGAGGTGTAACTGTAACTTTGGGGAGCCTTCATCCAGAAGTGGTTTGACAAAGGGCTCTCCGAATGATAATGATGATGATGATACATTTATCCGATGTACGTTTACAATGCCTTCAGCGGCTTCCCACTGTGACTATCCCACGCATCTGCAGAGCCATTGTGAGCTCCTTGCTTTTCACGAGCCACGTCGGTTCCTTTGCTTAGCCCAGCATCTCGCGAGCGAGGCAAGACCTGGGCTTGTGCAATACGCGAGAGAGCAAGACGCAGGACACGGTAGTTTATAGAGAGACATTTGCTCCGTGCAGAGCGATTGGATTTTAATTGGCTCCATTAAACACTTGTCAAATTGTAAAGAATACAGGTTCAGGTGAATCAGACCCGGCTAATTAATCATTAACTGGCCACTCATTGCTATCTGTTCATTGGGTTAATTGAGCTCAGCCCTTCCCTCATCGTGAGTGTTACTACATTATATGTGCTTGCCACATTTGACACCAAAAGCAGCCATCTAATACGTATTCCCCAAATTAACAATATACAGCCCTTTGTCAATGCACTGCTGAATGCCTCGCCACAAATGTCGGTTGTTGCGGGGTTTGTTGTTGTGCCCTCCTTCACCACGTCCGTCATTGCCCGTTGGTGACTAATGGCCCCTTCTGTCTCGGTGGCTCAGTGGGTATCGCACTGCGTTACTCACCCAGCCCCTGAGTTTGATTCCCAGCAAGTGGCTCACATCACTGACCAGTGATATCGGATTCGATCCTGGACACCCACCCCCTCACCATCCCCCACCCACCCTTCCGTTCCGCTACACCAACCCGCACTGACGGTTTGGTGAAGTATGATCAAACAACCCCCACGACCGATAAGGCATGGGCAGACATTCATCCAGCAGTGGATTTACTTGGAGCCGTAAGTTACATTCATCATTATTACAAATGTAACGTGTACATTGTGAAACACTAACTTACTGTGCTCTCATAAAGAAACTAAATGTCCCGTGTATGCAATGTTTTAATTTCAAGCATCTGTCACGTGTGGATTATAGTGAAATTTCATGCAACCGGGTACTTACATTGAGAATTCGCAGTTGAATCAAAACCCATTATAGTCAGTGATAACAACACAAATTCTCATGGCTAAAATATCACATTTTGACTATGTATGTTAATGTATAGGCTTGCTAGAATTGCAGATCGGGCAATGATTGTTTTTGTCAATAATCTGATACAGTTCCGATACACTGCATGTTTGCTTCTTTAATATTTTATCGGATAATTTCAGCAAGATTGGACAGCAACGATCAAACATGAACCAATGACATCTTACATAAAATCTGAGCAGAGGTTATCGATGAACAGAAATCGTTTGTAACTGATCCTGCCCGCTCTCAATGTACATGTACACATTTTGTCAACTGCTGGATGAGAGGCCCACGCTGTGCTGGTCGTGGGGGAATATTTGACCATACTTCACCACGATGGTAAGTTCGGGTTGAAGGTGGTGCAACAACAGAGCAATGGCTTTTGCCGCAGCGTGTAACCCTCGGTGTGGGGAGACCCTCATCCAGCAGTGTATGGACAAACAACCTGCAGATATACATTCCGCATGCGTCGGATATCTGTGGATTATCTAGTTTCCTCCCAAATATATGACCAAGTGTCCTGAGACTCAGTGAGTAAAATAAAGGGGATTATTGAAATGCATAATCATCGTCAGTATCCGCAATAAATCCACACTATTACAGTTAAAACTTCAAATCTAGATACAGTTATGGTTGCCAATTGGGGTAAAAAAAACGGGACATTTCGTGTGAATAATATCTCGCAATACTGGAGGAGGGGAGAACTACATGCAAATGCATTGTCTATAGTGGTTTATTATTATTATACGCAATTGACAAAAAAAACATTACTTATTGTCCCGGGAAGAATTCCATATTTTCCCCAAAAAGAGGACGATGCTGGTAAAAACGTAACGAGTAGCAAGCCTATCTTGAGTCCACAATGCAGCCAATTCGAGCAAGCCTACAGCACCGACAAAAGCCAGCCGTGTTCCAAAAATACCCGCACACGCGACCAAAAAAAAGAGTCTCAGCGCCAGAATGGCTCCGGGATCTCGTTGGTTGCCAGGAATGGCTCCGAGGCGGGAGGCTCCGGGTTCGATGCCCCACTCTGGCCACCCTCTCCCGGCCGGGCCCCCCAGTTGCTCTTGTAGACGCAGGAGACGCGGCGGTTCGCCTTCATCACCACGGACACGCGGCACGAGCCGGGCCTCCGCACAGCCGTGCACCACTCCGGGTAGTCAATGGGCTGCTGCTCGCTGGAGGAGGGGCACGGCATAGGAACGTGGAGTGGTGGGGGGGTGGGAAGGTTAGAGGCGTGAGTGGGGTTCGAGGTATCGGACACCTCCAACGGACGCACAGCAATAAAGGTTTTGATGTTTGCGTTTTGTTTGTAACGAATCAGAATCGCCCGTGAAATGTCACGCTTTAGGTCCCATGGGCGAACACAAAGACAAAGATTTCCCCATAGAGCGTTGACGGGTTGTTAGGGCAAGCACTGGTTGCGAGCACCTATTGAAGCCTGCACGCAACACGAGGGGGTGGGTGACCAGCATCATTGCCGGCCGCCTTTGCCTCCCCAATACTAGTGTTAGCACACCGCACCAGGCACTTATTTAAGACTTAGAAGACCTGTGGGAGGGCCCACGTTGGCTGTGAACGGGAATCGAACTGGGGTGGCCGCTGGGTTCATAGCGCTGTGCGCTATGCACTGCCGCTCTACATGGGCGGACACGCGTACGCTCTCACACGTGTACCCCACGCGGCCACGCGTTTATCGGGTACTCATAAATAGATGCGCACACATATACAATACTCGCGTAAATACGCATACGGTACTCAAAAGCTCGTGCATACCCGCATATGCATATAGACGTGCACAAATGAAGTTCGGTACACATAGACAAAGGCAAAGACAAATATCCTCCGTGGACACTGTCGGAGGAAGTTGCTGTTGGCAGCGCGCTTCCGTGAAGCCCGCCCGAGGTCGTGTGCCTGGATGACGTTGTTTGTTTACGCGTGTGTGCACGTTGAACTTCTTTCGCACCGTGCGTAGCCAACCGTGCTAATCGGAGGTGCGGGGAGGAAGGACAGCAAACTAAACACACAGCAGTTCCGAAGAAATGAGTTTTCAATCTAGATGATTTAAAAGTTTACAGCTCCGGTGGCTTCCTAACATCGGAAGGAAGAGCGTTCCAGACGGTCGCAGAAGCGCATCTGAAACGCGCGCGTTTGCGTGCCTTGCCACGACTCACATATTGCAGCAGCCCACTCCGAATGGGTGCAGACAGGTGCATTGAAGGCAGCGGTCGGCTACGAGCCACGTGTCCCCCATCTGGTAATGCTCGCCCTCCGATTCGCACACGGCTGCACACGCACACAGAGCACGAGGATACCAGACACAGAGCAACGAGACACAAGCGGAATCCGTCAGAGTCTACACCCATCTTCTTGGTTATTTTGGGGAAGTAATAAAATAATAAAAATAAAACATAATAAAATAATTCTCTTATTATGTTTTATTTTTATTATTTTATTACTTCCCTTCTACGTGACTTTACCGAAAGAACCAAGAAGATGAATCCCTGCAGTCACGAAAGCTTTAAATCGAAAAGTCTACACCCAGTGCTTAAGTTAATCGGGAATAGTATGAAACGCTGTTCCGGGACTTACTTTGATACTCCACATCAGTCTCGCCTTATTTTATCCTCGTAATGTGAGTATAAACATGTGCATGGGAGTATAATAAGAATATAGGGTGCAATAATATAATAATATTATGATGCATAGGCGTGTGTATACTATCTTTTATTATAGTGGTAGAGGCTTACGCCGATTATAATCCCTACTCGAGGCCAGCCTTAACAACGTTTCGGGAATTACCGAGTGAGAAATTAAGCCCCGAGTATAATGTAGATGTGCCCCCTTACTCGAGTTATATGCTTCTTTATAAAAAAAATCATCATAATGCCACGGATGATGAAGTAATCGTGGCATCCGAAATATTTGTATTTCATGAGATTATTAACAACAAATCACCAAGCGTTTCTTCAATTATGAATACCCAATTTGAACCCTTGCAATTTACCATCGACCTCAACATTTCTATGAACATGCCACTTGTTCTGGAGAACAATGTTTTTTTTTATAATCTCTCATGAGTAAAACTTCCCTCGCTTCTCTGTGAGTTTGTTTTATTTTAGGGTAAAATTAGACGAATTGCTTGGGCAATATCAATGTCGGTGCTTGTGAACTATTCCCGATACGAAGCAGGGCGAGATGGATGTGGAGTGGCCAAACTATTTCCCGGATCAGCGTCGCGGGCTGTTCCGGCTGAATATAACCGCTGCACACTTAGCTACGGCTGTTGCATTAGTGGAGAAAAAAAATCGGCTTGCTGCACATGTAGAAATGCCAAGCAATAAGCGTAACATTTTTACTTTTTAAACGGACAAATATATAAGTATACTCCAGTGGTGTAGCAATTACCCCATCGGACTTGCCATGCAGATGTCGCAGGTTCGACTCCAGTTCCCGGCACGGTAAACCCACAACATTTACAATTTGAGTACGACATTTCGCTGGTGATTATAACCAGTTTCGTCGTGCGATTTGCCAGATCGCAAAACGTCGTACTCAAATTGAATGTGTTGTGGGTTTACTCTCCAACACACCAGTGTGCTGCAGTCGTAGCTAATTTTATTTAAGTGACAAACCTTCATAATTGGCTATGGTGTTGGTGGGTTAAAGACATTTATATTTACACGATCTAACCCATAAAATCTTTATTATGAAGAATCTTGGTGGCGAATGCCTACGTGTTAAACTGACAAATAAACTCAACAAATTTGCCAAGAACACTGCGCGCCTTAAGAGGAAGAAAATACGGACAATTTTGCGACGTTTGTTTCAGACAGTGGCTCTTCTTTATATGACATAAATTAATGCGGTCAGATCGAGTGAATACGAGTTGGAGACTGACTGCACGAACTATACACCATGGGGCACTGGTTAAAAAACACACACATTTTAAAATAGTCTCCCGATGAACGGTTTTAAATCCACTCACGATTGGCGCGACGCACGCCGTGGGGACAGCAGCGATGTGTCTCACCTTTAGCGTCAAAGAAGCATTCGCTGAGCGCGGAGGGGATGATGAGGGCTCCAATCAAAGCCAAGACGGGCAGCTGTCCCTTCAGCACCATGGTGACCCCTGCACACACAGCACGGTAGAGCAGCAGCAGCAGCACGCGCACAGCAGCAGTAGCAGAGACAACCAACACTTGCTCGGTATCTGTACAGCCACCTCTTGCTTCTGCACACCCCTGTGCGTGCACATCGACAGTATATATACACACACTCGCGCAATCACAATGAAAGGACAGTAATCACCGGCAAGAGGGTATTGGGAGAGGTGGATGGGGGGGGGGGTCTCTTTCATTTGTTTTGTTTTGTGTCCCCTTTGTCTTGTCGGTGATGTCTTCCCCGCACCCCCCATCACATCACCCCAGGACGGATTTGCTCGCGGATAAGGCGACATGAAAAGAGGGGAATGATACTCGTGTCTAGGTGCGCGCATTCCCGACCGGTTAAACACACACACACACACGCGGCAGTCGCGGTGGCTTCTCGCGGTAATTGCCCGCCGCTCCTCTGTGGCCGTCATTGGGGAGGGTCGTTAATTTTTCATGGCAAGCTCACACAGTTTCGCTCCCACCACCCACCCCGCGTCTCCTCCCGTGCTTTGTCGGTTCAACCCTGAAGGTTAAATGGGGTCTCGTGGTAGCCTCGTGCAATGGGCGGTGAGCAGCATTGTCCGTTAGGCTCTGCGAATGTCACCGTTGTCCTTTGAATCTTTCTCCGTGTCCGCGTTTCTATCTGTTTCTCCGTGTCTGTGTTGTTGTTGTTGTCGCTGTTGTCTGTTTGATTAATGAACGTCTTCATTTAGACACGTTCTGTCTATACGGTGTTCTGATGTGCCGTGAAGAATGGGCCATTTTCTTAAAACGTCACCAATTTATATGTTAATTTTTCAAGGCGGTATTATTGACGAATGTGCTGAAGTTTTTTTGTGTGCATCGCTTCCAACGCAGCAGCAGCAGCAGCATCGCTAAATAATGTTGTGTTCATACGATGGTTGCTGAGTGAAATCGCCAAAGAGCGTGATAGTTAACTTGGAAGCTTGAAAGGGCATTTTGTATTTGGACGAACGTTTATTATTTAGCTTGGCTTTTTTTAATTAATAATTTGCAGAAATTTGTCAATCAACCGCTGGATAAAGGTCTCTGCATGCCATGTCAGTCATGTGGATTGTTTGACCATACTTCACCACGCTGGTTAGTGCTGGTTTAGTGTAGAGATATGTTCCCAGGACCAGTTCAGATGTCACTCACCACTGACGTTAGCCGTAGCCAGGAATCAAAGGTAAGGTTCGCTGAGGTATGTAACTCTTTTCCAGAAGCGACCTGGCCATAAATGATAGCTCAACGAAGTGGCTTATCACGTGGCCATTTATAGCAGCCGAATACTCTAAACACACGTTGATTCTAAATGTAGAGCGAAAAACTGGAGGAGCCGGACAAAAATCCACGCGATCACGGGGAGAACATGCAAACTCAAAATATGCAGACGTCAGGGTGGGGATCGAACCTACGACCTCCTGCATAACAAGCGAGGAAGTGAACATCTCGCCAGTGTGATAACCGCTATACTACCACTCGACTCCCTCAATCAGTAATTATTTGGTCAAATATCATGTCACTCATACAAACACAACAATGAATGATTTCGCAGCAACTGTTGAATATGCCTTTCTGATGTGAACGGTTTTGTGTTAACACTTATTAAAATAAAAATGGCAAAATCAGTGCATTTAGCTTCTGAATGCTCCCATGGGTGGCTCGTCGTACAATTCATTGCACAGGTTAATTAAAATCATCAATACGCCTAATTACAATCAAAACTCGGTCATCCATCACCTTCAAACATATCATGCAGTGTCAATTCTGCAGTGAAACTATGGGTTAGAAAAATATGTTTAACGTTACTGTAATCTTATTTAGCCACAACCTTCGACCGTTGGTGAAAATAGTCGACTGGTGCCAAGCCACGTGTTTAAGGACAGCCACACCACTGCAGGAGCAAATAACAACATTATTAAACTCAAAATACTATTGCCGAAATCAAGGGTGCGGTATATTGTAAACATGAACTTCAATCTTATACCTTTAAAACAAAATCAAACGGCAACATTTGCAACGCAATAATCGTAGTAGTAACAGTACAATGAGGCTGCATATACAGAGCACGCACAGCGTGCACTTTGCGTTGGTGCGTGCAGTGGCGCAGATATCGAGTGTGCAGGTGGTGCAACTGCACCGGGGCCCACGAGCCGGAGGAGCCACAGGCACCGGGCTACGAAGAAGCGGAGGTGACATTTGCAACGGAGAGGTGGAGGTGGTGGTCCCATTTCCCCAGTTAAACATATGGAACGCCAGGGCCAACGTTGGCCCGACGTTGCGGCGTTTAACGCGTTCGTTCCTCGCGCCAGGGATCCGTGCCGAGCGCTCGCACGCGCGCGCGCAAAATTCGCGCAGATCCCGAGTGGCGCGCTCATTACCGGCTCCGCCGTACGCGGGCGGCCGTGGTGGTTGCGCGAGCAATGAATTATGCATGCGTGGGATGAGCGGCTCCACTGCGAGATAATGTCAGCGATGCATCATTTAAACGGCTTAAAGACGAGCCCAGCTAGGCAAGCGCAGATAACGCTCCTCAAACACTCGCGGGAGAATAGAAGGCACGAGCGCCGTGGCCGACCGCGAAACAATCTTTGTAATGGCCTCGCGCACGAGGCTCCTCCAGTCGACGATAAGCTCTGACGGCTTAAACGGACTCGACGGAGGCGAGCACGCAGACACCGTGATCAAGAACCCGAGTCGTGAGACGGCATACCACGTGCATATTTTTTATTCAAGTAAATAGTGTACATGTGCGGCTCGGTATTTGCTTTATATATAGGCATATGTTTAAATATATCGTACAACCATGACAAGAAAATAGATCTCTGTGTGTGTACCAGGAAGAAAAAAGTGTTGTTCCTTGTGCGGACATACGTACTTACACATACATACGTATCTGAATTTTTTTTTTAAATGCTCTGTGCGCTACAGGGAGCACCCTCGGGAAAATGCACAGACATCTAATTAAAGTCGCTACCCAAGTTGATTGTCCACATATAATGATATCGTGTGTGCGTGCGCGCGCGTGCGTGGATTCGTGAGAGCGTGCGTGTGTGTGTGTGCACTACATATATGAAGTGAATATCAGCACCGCTTCTTAATAACCAAGAAAAAAATACACGTTTGCATCATCAGTTGTGCCGTTACATCCACGATCGTCACTGCCACTGCCGATTGCCAGACGGCAGCCCATCTCCGCGTGCGGTTCATTTTCAGACGTTAAAATGCGAGAGCCGTCTGACCTTGGCAGCAATGCGTTAAACACTCGCACGCACGCACGCCGCCACTCTTTTTGAGTTTCTAACAATACAACAGCGGAAATACGAGTGCAAAATAATTGTGCAACAGACTGGGTTTTTTTTAATTTGCTTGCACCTTCAGCGCTAATGCTGAGCACGTAGTTGCCATAGCGGTAGAGAGCAGCATAAGGACAAAAATAAATAGAGAACGGTGCAGATTAGAGGTCTTTCACCCGGCGGCAGATCTCTTCGGTAAACTCCGAACACTTGGAATGGCCACCGAGGTCTCCTGTAACCACCTGTTGAGAGAGACGGAGTCATCGTTAGTATGCCGGCGCTGTCCATTGGGCTAAGGAACGAAGGGCCCTCCTGTATGATGCCGGGGCTATTTTATTATTATCGATATATTCAACAACAGTGCAGAGCACCCCAGGGTACGCATCACATCTTTCAAGTGCCTTGACGCCATGCGCACATAACCGTGGCGATCTCCAGCTGCGATATAGGGAGCAGGCCAAAAAAAGCAGGTAACGAGTACGACAAAAGAAATAGTGAGAAGGATACACGCGAGGACAGAGAGGGGAGAAAACCCAAATAGGACAAAAATGGATTGCAGGAAGAAATCCTGGCGTTTCCTCACTTCAAAGCGATTTTTTTTGTTTTTTATGAAAACATTTAATCAGGCACTCGAGCGGGGCGCTCAGAACTCGGCCTGCTGCGTTCCGCTGGGGCGTGGGACTCAAGATATTGGGCGCTGTCGTCACCCGCTGGCTCGCGTGCACACATCAAAGCCATCCCGATGGGGGAGGGGGACCATCGCAGGGGTGTCCGTGGTCAAATCAATTTGACACTCTCAGCAAGCAAGTTGACGGCGTGCGCCTAACAGATAGCGCCGTTCGATGTCGTGGCGAGGCAGGGTTGAGAGGCGGCCAGGGGATGGTGGTAGTTTCTTTGCGCGCTGCCCCTCTCGCGCACCGCGATGCGGCGACGGCTTATTGTCGGTGGCTCGCCAAAAGCCGGGGAATGCGCGGGGGGGGGGGGGGTAGCCCTCGCTGATCTGGTCAAGGAGCATCAACCATCAGCACGCGAACTTCGGTCATCCTTGCAGCAGCGGCGGCGGCTGTTGGCTCGCCGTCAAATAAAGACGGTTACCACATCGCGCGCTTTCAGATGTGCTTCCGTGACCATCTGGAACGCTCTTCCTTTTGATATTAGGAAGCCACTGGGGCTATGTGCACTTTTAAATCGAAATTGAAAACTCAATTCTTGAGAACTGCTTTTTGTGTCTAGTTTGGTGTCCTTCCCCTGCACCTCCGATGAGCATGGTTGGCTACGTACGGTGCGAAAGAAGTTCAACGTGCATACATGTGCCGGATTTCTCTGGGTACTCTGATTTTCCTCCCACTAGTCAAACACTCTTTAATGGGATTGGCCACACATCCCACTGCAGGATGCTTCCAACACAAAATCTTGGAGACCCAATGCGGCATTGCTGGGTAAATTATTCAAAATCATCATTAATTATTATTTGATATTGACTGACCGGTTCTGCAAAATAAATATGCGCACTGTTTCTGTACTTTGTCTCGAGATGCAGTTGCATTTAGACGCCCACAATTGTCTATTACAATTGTATTGTATATTTCAATTGTATATTACAATTATGTTGTGTATTTAAATTGTATTGTATATTACAGGTAAATACCCTTATTTACGATTCCGTTCTCTCTCGCTTCTGGCCCCCTGGAACAAACTTCCCCTACACGTAAAGCAAATCATCCTGACTCACTGTTTTTCGTTCTTCCCTAAAAACACACACTTATTTTCCCTCAG